TCTTCAAACTACGCTTGATATATAATCGAATCATCATTCATGAATCTTTATAGTCATTAATTTGTTTGGAACTCTAATCTGCTTAATCTCATGTAGCAATAGAGGATGGAGGGCAATAGCCGTGTGCATCTGCTCCGGGAGGGCCCCTCCCGCAAGGTAATCATTATGATTTATGGCACACAAGTTAGCGCACGCGTTCCATACTGCCGAATGACACTAAATGACGAGTTCCGCTCGACTATTCTTGGTGACTTCCTGGATACTCTTCTAGGTTAAGAGCTTCCGCGACATTTGGATCTGTAATTGGTTACCAGGTGGTCTAGCATCCTTACGTCTTTATCACTTTATTATTATCTCACATAAAAACTAGTTTTGTCTCCCAGAAAAAATGTGTTTTAGATGCGAGAAATTCCTGAACTGAATGTTTTTGAAAACCACATCCAGACATTCCTAGCTTTAAAATTATTGAGATGATGCATCTGACACGACATTGTGTCTATCAAGATGATGTGAATGTTGTTACCATGTAGGATGAAATATGAGTGCTTTGCCCCCACAGCCTTGTCATTTATCAGTGTCGTTAGCCCGCCATATGTCCAGCAACGATTGAAGTTTCATAGCATCCGGCCACGTGCACGGAATGACCACTGCTCCGGTAGCCAATATAAAATAACTACATAGTTATTTGAATACAGTTTATTGCATGCGACTAGCAACAATATCAAAGACTTCCTAAATCGATATCTCTTTGTTTTGGTGTCCGCTTATTTAATATCACTTCCTTACTAAGCTCAAATTATAAGTTTATTTAAAGTATAAATGGAAATAGAAATATGCTATCTATATATCTTCAGATACCATCGCATTACCAAGAGTGCACTCAAAGTGGTCCTAATGATCTTGATGAGAAAAACGAAACTTTTAATGACCCCCATAATTCAGCAATACGTTAAGAACGGTGTCAAGAGAGAGCTTTTACTGAAATACAATGAAAGACCGCAATAACAGTCCAGGTAGCATTAAGGTAGGATTTGCGGTCGACTTCATTATAAAAATCCCAACAACTTTAGCCTGTAATTATGCAAAAGACTTTTTCCGAGCCATTACGGATCACGGCTGCAGTTTCATAACACGTCGCCATTTAGTTTTTACGCAACCACACTGAAGTGCTCCGAGGTCGAGCGGAGTAACTGTTTCACTTCGAAGATTTAAACGATGTTAAAAGCCATTAAATACGCATGTATATTAATGTAATCAATAACAAAATCTTTTCCCTAGGCAGCAGTCAGTTCCTTCATCTTCACAGTCAAGGAATACTTGTGTCACTAGTCAGGTACAATTTGTTATCCTTGTGTTATCCATTTCATACGCTTAACTTAAGCCCACCCTTAAGTGTCGGTTAAGGAGGTAAACTTAAGAGTATTCTAAAACCTCTGTAGAATTAGTAGTTTGATTTATTCCGCCAGAAGTTGGTTAACATGGGTCCGAATTGATATATTGCATGTTCTAGAGTAAAATGGGTTCGTTGAACGGTTCGTGGAAATCTAACTTTCCAAGTATTGGGTCATTAGGGTCTAACCTACACGATTTCTATCCGCTGTGTATCTGGGTGAAGCTATCACGCATGTCAATTAGAAAAACCTCTTGCTCCGTTATTTGAGATAGTTATTGCACAGTATTTAGTGTTTATACTCCCAATAAAGGTTAATGAGATCGCATTACATGCCAAAGCCAACTTTTCCCGGGCGACACACTTGCTTAAGTTGTGCACAGCTTTAGCATATTGTATTCAAAGATCACAGGAGCCTACACTGCACTAGAGAGCGTAGTATGCATTATTTATACTGATTTAAAACATGATGGACATCGATCACATTTTATTTTCTTTGCCGTGCTGTTTAGAATTTAGTTCACCACGACCTAGAAAGGTGCATAAAATAACCAATATCACTGAATTAGATTTCGTGGGAGGTTTGTGCATAAAATATGACGTGATGTAAGCCTCCCTCGGTGGAACTCACGGGGGGTGGCCAAACTTCGCCCTTATTTACATTCGTAACGTCCTTGGGGTTGTTCCCAATTAAATCTGACTGGGTATCCCATAGATGTTATTTTTAGATAGGTCGCGCAACTGCGATGGTGTAATCGTACGGTTTGTTTTGTAGTCGCGTGGTTCTTGTCTAAGAATAGGTTGCCATTCTATTTCTTCTCGTTAGTATCGCAAGATGCGACCCATGAGCTGTTTTTGATGTTGGTTAAGAGCAGAAAGCTATTTGTAATCTCATCATGCTACTGTAATTTGTTTATTGTTCAAGTAAAATCGGAGTTCATGATCAGGCGTTGATTAGGGTAATAAGACGTGATATGGATCTTGCTTGTTAAATGCAACAAAGATTTTATAACGCTTGTCCAGCCATTTTGCGCATACATAGCACGAAATCGTGAGTGACTTCATAACAAAATTCCGGACCCGACACGTGTGAGATATCACCAGCTACGAACATATTGATCAGTTTTATGCCGTGTCAAATTGCGGCACAATTTTAGTACATTATCGGCACCTGGTTAAGAATCGTGAAGTCCATTCACTAGTTAAGCGTAAACTACGCGCAGGGTGACTCACCCTCGGTAGACGACCCGTATTGAGGTCACCACTGTGGCCTTCCTAGAGACGGCATTGTTCCTTCTATTTTAACTTTATTCCATACAAGATATTTGCTAAGGAGACATCGCTCTTGAATCCCAGACGTCGAAATCGAGACAATTTGGGTTGCCAAGACTAGAATTATTTAAATACTTACGAAAATGATTCAACATTGGGTTTAACTCAATTCAAACAATATTCAAATGGAAATTTGGCTTGCAATATGATAGCGATGCATATTTAAGGTACAGCTGCACTGTACCTGTTTTTATTTTTTTTTAAATACAGCTTTTGAACTGAACAAATAAGTAAAGGTATTTATGAATAAGGAAAAAGCATTGAATCAGTCACTTATCATTTGCATTAAAAATTAAAACATATAAGTACTTAACTAATTATATTTTGTTTTTCCTTATTACAATTGGGGGAAAACAAGATTTAATTTAGTCAATAAATGATAAACAAAAGCTACAAATGAATATAAATTACATAAAGCATGTAGGCAAACATTTGCCAATATAATTTGTGCAAATCGTAAAAAACCACAAGATTATTTGCACAATATCAAGTTGAAGGACGGGCTACACTACTTAGAATGCAGAACTTGTCAAATGCAAAACACACACATTTGGCATACTTAATGAATTGTGTGTTTATGTAGGCATAGCTACTTAGATTGATATCTATAACATAACAAAATAAAACTTGTGACACATGCACTGCATGCATACAGGCCATTAAACATTTTACATAGTGTTTTATACTCTGTGGATAATTTCCATAGAGTGATTAAATCTGTTTTTTTTTTCACAAATAAAAAGCATGCTTTTAATCAATGTGTTCAGACTTTTTTTATGGCTTCATAGTAGATCCATATGCCAGAAGTGCCAAGAACTATTCCCTCTTGCAATTTATGGGTAGGTGCATGTTTTTTTTATTTTTTATGCTTTAATGTCCTTACGTAATTTTATTACTTTAATAATACTCATGTTTAACAAATGAAATTATTAAATAATCAATAATTAATACATACAATGTCCATATTTATCAGTAACTGAGTTACTTCTTAGAGTAGAGAATTAATGTGTTTTGTTGAGTCATACTTTTTACAGCTTATCCATACATACATATACAGTTACAGAATTGAGCAGATGTTGTGTGCCACAATATATGTATAATGTAAAAAAATACATGTGATCTATTTGGTTTACTAATAAACCTTACTTATTCCACTCATTTGTAAAATAAATATAATAATTACTCAAGGTGTGCTGTGGACATTTACCTATTTTAATTTATTACACTCAGAGCCTGATTATTTATTTTAATTAGGCAAATAATATTCTTCTTGTACCTTTAACATCCTCTACCCTTTAGGGAGAATTTTATGTATAAAAACATTGTGCAGCTAAATGTTTAGCTTAGGATATTACATTTGTATTTTTGAAATAATGTAATAATATGTGTGTAATGTTATTTTAATTTGAATGATATACTTAGTTACTTACATTCTTATATTGTGTTAACTACGTAGTTGCTACAACCTTGCCTACAAAAGGAATATGAACATGCAATTTCTAATGCTATTTATTTGCCAACTAAATATATTTAAGATTAAAATGTAAAGCATTTTCCGACCCCTGTAACGTTAAATTATGACATTTAACACACGCACAGTATTATCCGTTCGTCGATCCCCATCGGCTTAACCCAGGGGTGGGTCTAATGATAAATGCCCGCATCGTAAGATATACGAACACCACTCGTTGCGCCGCTACTTTCTGACTTAAAACCTTTATAATTTAAATAATTCTATACTAGTAAAAGCTCTAATTGCATATAAATACCTCATAAAACCCAGAGAATGCAGATCAAGGCAGCAAATCAACTGTCGATGGGACAAATCCTTGCACAACCACTAAACAGAATATATACGAAAATAAAACACACTAACACAAGATGTTCACTACTTATGTTTAGCTAATCAACACAATAAATTATTACACAAATTGATTGTGTTATGAAACGTCCAACAAACATATATAAAATATGAAAAATGTTGCATTTCCTATTTTATGTGCACCGGCAAACGATCAACACAACCACCCCGCTACAAAAATCTTTATAAAACTGAAAAATGTAAACGACGGGGGCGCTGCCATCGTCGATTAGCGCAAGCGCTGTCAAAACGTAAAAGAAACCACTCCTTTACACCTAACGAAAATAAAAAAAAAGTCATAAAAAGTAAAAATCAGTTAATATTGATTATGTTATTTTAAATTAAAAATAAAAGTAAGATAATTATATTTAAAGCTCATATTAATAGGAATGCCTTGTATGATGTCAAAGACACGTAAGACTTTTAAGTCTACTGTCTATGTCGAATAAACTGTCACTGTCAGTTTTGGCACAATATTTGTTTTGTGCATTTATTTTTTTATATTTTCGTTAAAGTTATAATCTTAGTTACAAAAAGTAAAAATGCTTGATTCTGTAAAACGTGTAATATTAGTTCTCTCAGGTAAAGGTGGTGTTGGAAAATCCACAGTTAGCACACAATTGGCGCTTACTTTGAAAGAAAGAGGTTATAAGGTATAATCAAAAAGACTTATCAGTGTATTTTCTTTGATATTACCTATCATTTTATATACTAACAGCATCTTGAATATTTCTAGGTTGGATTGCTAGACATTGACTTATGTGGCCCTAGCGTTCCTTACTTGTTAAACTTAGAGAACCAAAATGTACACCAGGGTCCTGAAGGATGGATCCCAGTGTATTTAGATAACGAACAAAGGCTCGGCGTGATGTCTATAGGCTTCTTACTAAGCTCCCGAAACGATGCCGTAGTCTGGCGAGGACCAAAAAAGACTTCAATGATAAAACAGTTCTTGGAAGATGTTTGCTGGCAGGAACTTGATTTTCTTGTTATTGACACCCCTCCAGGTAATAAAAAGTATATTTTTAAATAATTTATGAATTCTTAAAGTGTCTTTAAAGCTGATTATATTATACTTTTTAAATAAGATAACTCTTTCATACTACACAGAAAATCACTTCTCAAGAAGTGCTAAGTCATGATTAGCTGAGCAATTTAAATAATATCACAACTCTTTTTTATTTTAGGAACTTCAGATGAACACATCACAGTGATGGAGAATCTCCGTCAAGTACCACAATGTGGTGCAATAATAGTGACCACTCCACAAGAAGTTGCCATAGAGGATGTGCGCAAGGAGATCACATTCTGCAAAAAAACTGGCATACCAATCCTTGGCATTATTGAAAATATGAGCGGGTGAGTTTTGGCATCCCAAGCCTAGGTGATTGAAGTAATAATACTGATGCAATTTTAGAATTGCAAATATTTTGTATATCATGAGATAGACATGGTCAATTCAATGAGCCAAGCTGTTTGATATTCAAATAAGGAAAAGCAAATTGATTTAGTAGAGACAGTCTGTTGGCTATTGAACCAATGATAGTTAAAGATAATAATGGCTTCATTATAAAGCATACAATTTAATAGCTACTGGCTGTGTACTGACCAAATCATTCTTTATTTTTGAAATTCATAACTTCAAAGATTGCCCCCTAAAATGGCTTATTTAATTATAATTTTTTGGTTAGGTATATTATATGTCAAAAATCTATCCTTCATATGTCTCATAAACCTTCAGTTCTTTTCTATTAGGTACCTAATAATAAGTTATGAGCATTCATTATAAAAATAACTTCCAAAATGTTAATAACAAACCAATTTTTATCTTTTCAACAGTGACGTTGTTTGTAACCCATTTCCTGTGCCTCTGTTATCATTGTTATATTAATTGAAGGCCAAGTTATGGTATTGAACAGTATGTTGCATTTTCAACCAAAAACTTATATTAGAATACTACTTGCCTGAATGCTATATGAGACTGAAATGTGGTTTTATGAAAACTTTCCTTAGATATGAAACCAATCAGCTAATTTATGTAAATAGATACATTACCTCAAATTCTTTTTACTTATGATATGATAAGGATGAGTCTTTAACAATATTGGAAATTCGTGATTAAATTGACTCAAGAAACAAGTTTTTAAGCAGAACTTACTTGGAGTGTAATATGCTGCATGAAAAACTGTACTATAGCCAATAAGAAGAAGGTATCGCAGCCTCAGCCTAGAGCAGGAGCAGGAACAGGGGTGTTTTTAGTCAGAAATAGTTGTAACATTCTCAAAATAAATGGCTTCTCTTGCCTCAGCCTAGGCAAGAGAAGCCATTTATTTGATGATTTCCCCTCACAAAAAAAGACAATGAGATGAGGCTCTGAGGAGTATTGTTTTTCTCTTACAGATACGAGTGTCCAAATTGCAGTGAATGCACAAACATCTTCTCCAGTGGCGGCGGAAAGTCACTAGCAGATATATCCAAAATTCCTTTCATGGGCAGTGTGCCCATAGACCCCAGGGTCGGGAAGTTAGCTGGACAAGGTTTAGCAGCCATCAAAGAACTGCCAGACTCAACAACCAGCAAAGTGTTCACTGAATTAGTTAATCAACTAGCTCTTAACCTGTGAGGCTATATAATGGAGTTTCTATATGTATTTAAAAATCATGGGACATATTTATTTATACAATGTCTTGCTCTATTATCTATGAGTTCGAATACTTATAAAATTATTTATAATTCGATTGTGATATTCAAAATGGTTTCGATAACTTACTAAACAATACAGCCAATGTATCTTGGCCAGTCTGAAGTTAGCCGATTAGCTGCGCAGTACACAATTTTGTTCCTAAAAGATCCAGTATTGTCCTTGCAAAAGTTGTAAATGTTCCTCAAATCACTAAGGACCTACAAAAGACCAGCAATGCATTTGTAACTTCTTTGGTTTATTAGGTTGCCATGCATGGCGCCACATTTACCATCAGGGTATCCGTCGTCTCATTTCTGGACATACTTTTATTTATTTATTTATACACTTTATACAAAACATGTAAAGGTGGACTTAATGCCTTAGGCATTGTCTAACAGTCGACCTTTGGGTGGTCGACTTTTACCCCATAAAAACCTAGTTTTAACTTTAAAATTACTTTGGTTGTAATACATGCCAAATGTTTATAGTATGTAAATCGAAACTATTTGTATACAGATAAATATATAATTATGTATAAGAATAACAAAATTGGTGTCCTCAAAGAGGTAAGTACCTAGATATCTAAATACCACATCAAACAATAAAGAATGTAGGTATTACCAAAAGTACATTAGCTACAGTTAACAAAAAACTGCAATAAACCAGTTTAGCATGGACTCGCTTTTTATGGTCTTTCCCCAGATTCAACAGTCAATTTATACTGGTAATACGTAGCTGCGAGTACGAACTAAATAAACAAAATGGCCTGACGAATTTTGTGTGTTGTCAAATATCAAATTTCTCTTATAGATCAGTTTGTATGGAAGAATATTTCCGTTTTTAGTATTCGATATAAGCAATTTTATACTCCTCCTTAAAAAGCTGGCATTGCATCTATAACTTCGCTGGTGTTACGGGTATCGATGGTGGACGCTAATCGCTTATCGTACTATCAGGTGATCGTCTCCTCGGTGTGTCCCCTATATACCATATATAAAAAATAAGTCCATATTTTCTCAAGACCCAAAGTTAACTTAATCTTTATAACCTTTTCAGAGTTTTAACTAGAATTAACAGCAATTTATTTTATATATATGTACTTATAAGAAGAAGATTGCAATGTCCACTTTAATACTGCTCATTATCAAGCAATTATAGTTTTAAGCAAAAATGTAATTATATACTATCATTCCATTGATATTGTTGGTGTAAATAAATAAAATACATCTTGTTAATACAAGTCCATTTATTTCATAAATCTATCAAATACATAAAACACGTTCTAAAAATGCATTATAATTTTGGTTTTATAAAATATTTCTTTGTACTGCATGTAGTACCTACAATATTATATGATTATATAAATGTATATAATTTTGCAACACCCTGATATGATTAGTACCCTTTTTTCATGAAATGAGACAATCTAACAAGCTGTTTGGAGTTATGTTATTCGATTTTCACATCTATGGAAGTAATCATAAGATACAAGATTGAATAAAGATATAACAGTTGAATGGGGTGAATACAATTAGGATGAAAAGATACAGGGGAACTTCTTTACCCATTCATTCCATTTTTGTTATCACTAATTAATAAAATTGTATTTAATGTTTGTCTGTTAGACCTTGTTACTTTGGAATAGAAATTGAACTTGAATGAGTTTTCGCTTGTTAGAAAATCCAATTTAGATAAACTATCCAAAAAATACAAATGCAATGTTTATAATATTTGATATTAAAGTTGGTAAAAATCGATTCATAATATCTTTTTGATCAGTCCATATACATAGGTACAAAAGGTCATTTCTTACACAATTTTCAAATAATATATTAAAATATCTTTAGATATAGAGTGAGAGAGAGTGTTTTATAAACTGAAGAACAGACATAGGATACAGCATTCGACTTTTTATTGTTAACATGGCACTGCCATGCGCGTACGCAGCGCTTTCTCGAGATATAGACACACCACAATAAAACAATAATCTACTAGATCAAAAACAAGGAGATAAATGCTTCCGTCTCTAATACTAAAGAAAAATAATTTGACAATACGAAACTTAGGTATCCACAGCCAACATTACTCAAACGACAAAGATATTCTTTCTATACTTAAATATAAACTGGGAATATTATTATTATTACCAAGTAATATCAATACATTCATTTTATAGACAAGCTAAAGTTGCCGGCCCGGCTTGCAGTCACGGAAAACAGAAATTTTAATTTAATTAAAAGTCTACCTTGACATCAAAATAAAGTAAACGAGTGAATTACTGGATAATAAAGCAATAACATTTTAATTCAATAACTTTAACTATTGTTGCTGACTGACTGCTTAGTAAAAAAATATAAGAAAAAACATTTAGCAAATTGAATTTAAATAAAAATTTTGGCTTAAGACTAGATTGTATTAAACACAGATTAACACATACTTACTTATAGGAATAAACATTGAACATATCGGGTATAATATTTTATATGCATAAAATATATAATAAACTTAACAAAAATAAATTCGAAACAAAAGAGTTGTCGTCCAAAAGACACGATAGATTCCTTTATGTCGGTACACGGTGATTTTATATAGAAAACATAAAAAAAACATTTCTTAATTGCCTCCCACCTTATTTTTTTTTATTTAATACTCTGCAGAACTTGTTACAATTTCAAATAGTAACGGTCAATACTAAGTTGGCACAAGATTGGAAATACATCAAGTAAAAAATCGAACTGTCAAAATCCAAAAATTGCGCCAATACCCAACATTGTTCGGGTATATCCCGATCTCAAAATCACATCAATCTATCACTTTACCAATTTCTTGATATTTCAATATTCATTATTCTTATTTTATTCATTTTAATACTAACAACACGTTAATAACACAAATACATTTTTATAGGGGATTGGACAGCGACAGAAATCCAACGACAATAATAAAAAGAGTTTACGAGCAGATTAACACGAATAGCCAGTCATGGTCACTCTTGCATGGTCGGAGGACCATCCTTTTCTGAACCTAGTGAACTTATAACTCAATCCCTGTTCCTTGTGTGTAAACTGTGTAATGTTTTTAATAAATGCTGCAATGCTGATCAACCTTCACCTTTATTATAACATGGAGGTGAGAAAAATGTATACTCCTTGTCCAGTCCACCATTTTTAAACATTCACGAATTACTTATTTAAGACTTTGGTCACAGAGTGGTTCACTCGGACCAAAATGTTATTCTACTATCTTGTACTTACATAGAACGTAAAACAGATCTACGAAAATATTCTAATTTACTTAATCTACAAACGAATGGCATGACAAACAAAATTGCACCCTATTATCTGACGTACAAAGATTACAATAGCAGTTTCTGTTGTAAAAAAATAAAAGAATATCTTACCTTTGATGCCACATTCAACTAAAATAAGCTTTACGTAGATAAAAATAGAGTTTAATTCCGTATGTCATTTATTCGTTGAGCCACATGAATTGTCGGATCTCGTCTTCTGAGGAGGGGCAGCAGTGAGGAGGAGCTTTTTGCAAAATATGACGAAGTTCCTGAAGAAAAAAGAACAATATTTCTTAATTTGTTTTACCAAAAACGAAATCAATGCCCCTTATACCCATGTAGGCAAATATCAACAGTATTATTGAGATAATAGAGTCGATAACAGAATAGCATATGCATAAACATAGTTGTGTCAGAGGAAACTGAACTTTATGGAGTTAATTTAAGGGTGGAGTTTCCAATACCGCGCAAAAAACTTTGAACATCAAAAATAGTACATCACATCCCATAAGTTTTACTAAGGATATTTACAAGAAGAAAGTTTTAAGAATACAGATGAAAAAAGGAAAATAAAGAAAATAAAATTAATGATTCAAAGTGAAATAAATATTGATTGCAATAAAGCTGTTTTTTGGCGAGTTTCATGAGTATGATGTCATCATTTGTGAAAAAAATTCAAATTAATTAATTTTAAAGTAATCAAAAGAGGTAAGTAATTACTTTAAGATGTTTAAAGTATTGTTTAAATTTCGAATTTGAGGCTCGTTCGGCACAGACCAATCGTTTCATCAATGAAAATCTTGTTATAATAGATTTATTCTTTTTCTCATACGAACAAGAATATAATTATGTATAAAAAGTTACACTCTGTACAAATTATTAAAGATTGACATCAATTCATAGACACTCTGTATAAAGTTAGACAGTGGTTTATTTCAATAGATTTAATTGTGCAAAATGTATTTCGCTTTAGTCATTCTGTATAAGTCACAGTAGAAGCAAAGAATCTTTATGTAACTATTATAGATACATTATATTATAACGTATATATGTATACCTATTTATCATAGGTACTTGCACCTTTAGGTAGCATTAAATTTAAAGTATTATCTATGGTCGAAATGCCAGCAGTTCCTTTGACTAAGTATATTTTTTTGGGTAATTTCATCTTATTTACAAAACATATAATTTCCAAAACTGTTAACTTAAAAAAATATATATAATTAACAAAAAACAGTGCCTTAAAAAATATTTTAAATGTAAGCACTGCATTTCAAACCTTATACACTAGTACAGAATGACTAAAACAAAAAAAAGTCGATGGGTTATATGTAAGTGTTTACGAACCCCGACTATATCGAACCACTTGTCCTTCTGCAGTCGGCCGGCGACTGAGCGGCTCAACCACTGCGGAACACAAGGGTACCTGAGTCGAGCTCGCTATGCCTTGCACAAGCGATTATGTGTGGCGTTATTTTAACTATAGGGGTGTTTCCAACTATTCTAATTAAATATTTTTCAGAAATGATATTTTTTTTTGAAATTTGTTATGAAACCTACACCCGGTTTCAGAAAGGCCGATCAATGTTAAAATCAATTTAATCTCTTGCCAAGTCATCTGATTAGTTAACTGAATTATCAACAACCAATCAGATGACTTGACAAGAGGTTTAACAGGAGATTAGTTAATTTTAGCGTTGACAAGCCTTTCAGAAACCGGGTGCTAAAGTATCTTTTTAATACCTTTTTTAAGACAAAGAGCATACTTTATTTGATCTTAATAATTTGTGAATATTAAATTAGTATATTGTGAAAGGAGTGGATGAAGGTGTGATTACTTTGAAGTGTTTTTACGGTTTTATAAGTTGATGTTACCTCTCTTTGACTAAGGATAAGAGAATCTAGGACTATATTTGGATGAAGATAAGAGATATTTTAAAAATTTTATTCCACAATGACAACATATATAGGATAAATGTGTTTATTTTCCTCATGTCATAATGCTTACTTTATTATTTTTTAGTTATTTATTGATTTGTCTACAATTGGGTAGTTTCCTAGGTCAAAACTAAATTAATTCGACGTTTTAATACGATAAAATATTGAAAAATAACTATACTTTTATTCATCGATCGATCGATACACTAAGTTTTAGATATTTTTTAGCTAATTTTTAAAAAATAAGTAAGCTATTTGACGCAAAAATGCTATGACGTCATAATTCAATGTTTCATACAATTTTCATAGAAAAGTATCGTTTTGACATTTGGATAAAAGTATTGAATTTGACTAGTTGGAAACAACCGTATTGTTACACATAAATTAACAATTAGGTATACAAGTACGGGTGTTAAAATAGCCTTTGTGTACAATATTAAACAGTATACCCTGTTTAAAACTTAAAGTCTAACTATTTTACCAGTAAATAAAATGACCTTTGCATCGCTGAAGGGCGTTTGAATATAATGTCGTTAATTATGGCGCGAATAAAAGAACACATTTTTAAATAATCTTAAAAAAAGTAAATTTTGAGCATCGACTAAAACCACAATTAGTTATAACAACGCCACACATACCTTATTTTAAATTAAATAAGCAAAAAGTTTTAACTTAATAAAACTATTTGGATCCGCCTGTACAACGCACAGAGGCGGCGAGTCTAGTACATAGTAATTATATTCTAAAGAAAATATAGCTGATGGTACATGGATAATGAATGATATATTTAGTGAAAAATGATAGGACAAACTGTAGTTTTAAAATTATAAAATCAAGACTCATAACTCGATTTCTCATAATCAGCTGTTAAATCTCTACAAATAAAAAATGGCAACATATTACGTCAAATCGCATCATTCTAATATTAAGTTTACAATCAAATAACAATCCAAATTTTGATCGATGATCCACTTTTCAGAAACCATATTCAATCAAGACGCAGAATAAAAAATAATTTCCATTATCATAATGAATTTATAAAACCACAATTTGTTGAAAAGAAAATTTCGTAACACACAAAATGATTAGCATTTTGTTCTAATGTCGATGCCAAACAAAAATACACTAGCTATAATGCTGATGTTGGTGACCGGACGCTAAAACAATACGAGTACAATAATGATAATAATGGAAAATACTTTATGAGACCAAATGATGCTCGATTAGTTTCAAGCCACGGTAGGGGCTCAAAAACATGAATTATGTACATAACACGCCATTAACTAGTAAATTACGAATTATAATAATACGAAACCTCACAGAAAACCGGCGTGAAATAACCACTGCGTTGTGTTTCGCCGTGTGAGTGAGGTTACCGGAGGCCCAATCCTTCCCCTTCCCCAATCCCTCCTCAATCCCTAAATCTCCAAATCCCTAATCCCTAAAAGGTCGGCAACGCACTCGTAACTCCTCCGTTGCGAGTGTCCATGGGCGGCGCTGATTGCTTACCATCAGGTAATCCGTCTGCTCGTTTGCCGACCTATTACATATAAAAAAAAAAAAAAAAAAAAAAAAAATACCCCTTTAGACATTTACGAGATTACTTGTACAGATTATTATTTAGATACTATTATATAGGCCAACCGGACAAATACTTCCTTAAACTCGAAAATTTTACCTCAAAAAACATTTTCCATTAATAAACGTAGTACACAAATATAAAATGATTGTAGCCATATCTTCTACATTGATACTACTCATATCCTAACTAAAATGTATTACGATTTAATCACAAAATTGTTTAACGGGCAACGATACTTCTAATCATAAGTTTGAGCTCCCAACGTGGCTCGAAATTAGTCGGGTTAGCTCGTTCAACCATTTACGTGAATAGTTGCAATATAGAAAGAATACTTTTATGATAAAGGTACGACCATTTTATGCCATATCCAACTTACCTTCATAGCATTTCTGTTCCTCTGGGCGGCGACGAGGTGGTTGACGACTGGATCTGGGTAGTCCTTGCCTATAATGCAGGAGGCACGCTCTTGTACGTCAATTGGGGCCTTCCAAGGTTCGTATCTGGAAGCAAAGTACCAACATTTAAAGAATGTATAGTAAATTGTCAAAACCTCGTGTTTCCCGAGGTTGAGGCGGAGGTCAAGGCTGCCCGCTTCTTATATGTGTCGGTTCGAAAACCTGGCAAGTTGTTTTACCTGTTTACTGACCTAGCCAAGTAGATATAAAAATTGAAGAAAATGCTTATAAAAAAAAATAAAGAACTAAGCAATGTCTTACATGTATTCAACGGGCATACGCGCAAGTTCGGGCACGTAGCGACGCACGTACTCCCCGCTGGGGTCGAGACGTTGTCCCAACCTTACAGGGCACGCACACTCCCCCGAGTCAAGCAACGCTTCAAACGCTGATGATGATACCCACATCCAGTTCCCAGCGCACACCGACCTTGACAAACAGAAGGAAGACTTTAATGGTTTATATTTTTTTCATTTGTGTACTAACTAGAGTTCTACCAGCAGTAGAGCCAAGATAAAAAATGCGTTATTCCAGACTATAATCTACTTGTGTCAAATTTTATTGAAATCCGATCAGTTTTTTTTACGTGAAAGAGTGACACATTCATTACGGACCTCGGCGTGTATAATATGAGTAGAATAAGTTGCTAAAATTGCATAGAATGATGTTTTGTTGCTTGGCATACACAGAGGCATATAGTATTAATGTTTTATTCACGCTCCCCCTTATTACAAAACAAGATTTATCTTTAGTCCAGGTGTAAACCATTGATTCGGGTTTTGAATTTTGAATCTTATTGTCATCTACCTTCAATTCGAAATACAAAAACTGGCTCAATGGTTTAGTCCTACACTAAAGTAAAACCTTGTTTTGTAATTAGGCCGTATACGTTTTTATAAGCCACTCTATTTACTGGTATTAATTATGATTAAATAAGGATTATACCACTAGGAAAACAAATACATTTGTTTTATTATGGCAGTAGTCGTCGTGAAAAAGTTTTCAGATCTTCATCCAAAATCCTAGACTAAAGTAAAACCTTGTTTTGTAATAAGGCCGTCTAAGTTTAAGCTACAAAACGAAAGGATCTTGCCTTAAACGACACACACAGCCAGTAGTGATTCAAGAAACTAATCAAAAAGGTACATCTTTTTAGTCAACAATTTTACAATAAGGAGAGAGCTTAAAGAGTAATAAAACACTTATCAACATAATAGTGTTTTAACCTACTGCTGGACATAAGCCTGGACCTAAGACCCTAAGATTCAATGAAATCAGTGCTTAAAGTAATTACCAATCAGCATCCAGCAGATACTTCAAGAAGTGGTTCAGCCCATGTTCCCAGGACAGCCAGAGAGTACCGCGTGTTAGGAAGGAGGCCACGGTGTTACGGGCGGCGTGATGCAGCCAGCCTTCAGTACGAAGTTGACGCATAGCTGCATCCACGAATGGAAAACCGGTACGACCTTCCATCCATCTGAAATTTGAATAGAATAGGTCTAAAATCGTGTGTGGTGGCCCGGAGGTTAACGAGCCCACTTCTCATGCATGAGGGTGTGGGTTTGAAACCTAGCAAGCACCAATGAGACTTTTTCGGAGTTATATGTACTTTCTATGATTATTTAGACACCACTGACATACGGTGAAGGTTAACATCATGAGGAAACTTGGACTTATAATTTCTAATTATAAGTTTGAAATTGCCAACCCGCATTGAGCAAGCGTGGTGATTAATGCTCTAACCTTCTCCGTGTGAGAAGAGGCCTTTGCTCTGCAGTGGGCACTTATAGGCTGATGATGATGGTGATGAAGTTGAAAATCTTTTTTCTCAACGCTTGGACCGTGTTCTTATTCCCGTGGGTGCATTTACAAACATATAAATTCACATACACATAACCCACAGACCCCCGAAGAACAGATTGTTTATAACACATATAAATGGTTCCGTGTTACAATTTAACCCAATGTGCCAAAAGTCAAAAAAAAAGTCGAAAATCATTTATTCCAATTAGACCTTTACAGGCACTTTTGAACGTCAAACGAAATAAAAAATAAAAAATAGTGTCAGTCTGTCGGTCACTCCTCTTAGTGAAGCTATTTGCAAATGCGAATGCCAATTGTGTATTCAAAAGTCCTCTTTAATGATTTGGTAGGTACCCGTCTGGACTTATTTAATTTGTTTTACAGATCTGTTAATGACCAAGTGAAACAGTTGATGGATGATGGAGGTCCAGAAGCGAGTTGCGAAGCCACCTTGAGATTAGACAAAATTAATCCGAAACTGATAATTTAATGCTTGCAGTTTTCCGTTCATTCCCAGATTTTAAAATTCCTGGTTAGAAAATCAAATAAATAAACAATTTCAAATACCTCTGCAACTCATCTCCGGAAGGAGTCTTCCATGGAATGTCCAGGCAGATAGGGTTGCCAGCCATCTGGCCGTAGTTAGGGTTGTTCACGCTCATCGTGTAGAAATATTCACGCCAAATCAGTTGACCTGTGTGTATAGTAAAAAAATTGCAACTATCAAGGAGAAGAGAATCAAATATTTTAAGACTTCCTGTGTTACATTTATTTATTTATTAACTATTTTTATTTACTGAAATAAAAAAAATTCGCGTTGAGCACGGTACTCATTGTCACTTAACGGTAGGTTTAAGGCTTTTTTAAGCTTGTTAGGACGGCGTTTGGCCCACTTCTGAAGTAAGCTATGCCTCGGCCTAAGATGAAGCACGCCTACCAAGCGACACTCATCATTTGATAACAAGTTGTACTCTTCGGAAACCACAAACTCTGGGCAGATGAATTCCGCTCATATTACCATCGCAATAGGATTGAATTAACAGTAATATAATTTATTTAATTCTTACCAGTAATGAAATGGGAGGCAGAATTAGATGTGAGACGTCCTTGATGCACCTGACGGAACAAGTCCTGTACTGACCAGTAGAAGCTGAAATAAACTAGTTATTACGCTCAGCAACAATAGTCACTGAACAATGAACTTTAATTATTTAATATTTAGATATTAAGTAATCAAAATTCCTCAAAACAGTACGCAAAGACAGCAGAACAACGGGCTTGGAGCCAAACGCCAAATTTTTTTTATTTAACAAAATGTTACACCGTTTCCGTCATAAACTTATGTAACGCAAACACAATTACTTGGTAATTAATGACTCAACTAATATAGCTATAACTAGACTGCCCATATCCATCCAAAGGTTGTCAAGAAGAAATTATCCTGATAAGACCTCTTTGTACAATTTTTAATGATGTGTACAATAAAGTATATATAAATATACTAGCTACTCCCGCGCGGTTTCACTCGCTGCTCCGCTCCATTTGATTGTAGCGTAATGTGTTATAGCCTATATCACTCAAGAACAATGTAGCTATCAATAAGTGAAAGAATTTTGGAAATCCGACCAGTGGTTCCAAAGATTACTCCCTACATACAAACTTACAAATTTTACCACTTTATAATATTAGTATAAATTTAGCTTTTGGTGACATTTGTTGCCCCAAGATTACATTAAATATACCTACCTGAATCTAACTTATCCTCTTTTGCTTTCCTTATGAAAATTTTGGACTATGCGAATTGTAATAAAGTAAAAGATGTATATCATCTTCTGATGGAGTGTGCCAGAAATTGATTTGAAGGGAGCAAGTTAAACGCCAATTGTGGGAGAGCCATGCTTCCGCACGAATGGGGCAGAAAACCGGCGCGAAACAACCACAGCTTTGTGTTTCGCCAAGTGAGGTTACCGGATGCCCAATCACCAAATACTTAATCCCCAAAGGGTCGGCAACGCACTCGTAACTCCTCTGTTGTTTCGGGCGTTCATGGGCGGCGCTTAAGTAAAGTAAATCGTCTGCTCGTTTGACGATCACATAAAAAATATGCTGGCTTAATACTACTTTCGTTTTATCTTTATTCATTAATCTATAAAGAGATGCATGCTCGTTGATAAACAGAATACCTTCTTCTATTTTTAAATTTGATCTCTTAAAATATTTACGAATAATAATCTATATATATAAAAATGAATCGCAAAATATGTTGGTAAGCGCATAACTCAATAATGCCTGGACCATTTCTACTGATTCTTTTTTTGTTCTGTGTGTTATTGTCAGAAGAAGGTTCTTATGAAAGAAAATTTTAGAAAAGTAGAGGGGAAAGTCGGGTTATAGGGACAACTTTCATCATAAGCGAGACGATAAAACCCGAGCGAAGCAGGGGCAAGCTGCTAGTTTATTATAATTATTGAATGATTCGTAAAAAATAAGTTGATAAGCGCATAACTCAAAAACGCCTGGATCAATTCTTTTTATAATTTTACCAATAATTCAAGACCAAAATTAGCCAAATCGGTAAAAGAATTGTTGAGTTATAGCATTACAATGAAAAGTGGCATTGAATTTTTTATATAAAAATATTGAAGTAAAACAAACAAAAATGTGCTTACCTCCTAACAGAAAGACATCCGAACCGCAGCGCTGGACTCAAAGAAATCGGTGGACCTAGCAAGTCCGGGTTGCCATGCGTTGGCAAGTATGAACCCCTGTGGGAAATACAAATATTACAATTACACAATAAATACTATTCATCCCTGTATTTAGATTATTATGAGCGTAAAGGTGGCAAGGGATTTCATACATTATTTTGTAAGGGGCAAAACATATACCTGAGGAATGTCTCGTACTCTACAGTCAGGCGCTGCTGCATCTGCTTAAGGGCTGTGGTCTCTCCGCCCACCCAGCGGATCATCCTTATATCTTCAGTCTCTAGGAATACACCTAAATCTTCCGGTTTTGGAGTCTGATAAAAAAAAAAGAATATAAGTTTTGGCTTTATCCTAAAATGGTCCTTACATTGTTAAAAAACGGTTTAATATCCAGTGAAATGAAATAAATTTTAATGAATAAAAGAGGTTTTATAGCAATTTTTACTAACCTTATCGAAGACTGTAAACTCATTGTAAAAGGATTCCGGCAGACTACCGAATTTGACTCCTGTGAAATCTACTTCTCCGACTGGACGCGGAGGGTCGCCAATTGTGGCCACTGTATGCTAAAAAGTGTAAACATAGGATATAGAAAGTACTTATAAGTCTATACCACGCACGACATTCCGGGCGTCGGGGATCAAGAAATGTTCTCCGGCCACCGGAGTAAGGGTAGGCTCTTAATAAACTGGTACGCTTCACCTTCAACGATTGTAGCACTGCTTATCATCAGGTGGGATTGCAGTCAAGCAATAGTTTAAATGACTTGAAAAAAAAACTTCAGTTTCTTAGTTATAAGCTTACGTTATGATAACTGCCAAGCAGTCTATCGAGGCCGCTCATTGCACACGGTAAATACAATGGACATTTGGACAATGGAATAGATAAGAGCCATGTTCTTAAAAAGATCATTTACAACTTTTTACTTGAATGGCATGCATAGACTAACTTTAAGTATGAGAGAGCCAAGCCTCTGCACGAAGGGTCGGCTCAACCGGAGTGATACAAGGGCCTCACTGAAAACTGGCGTTAAATAACCATAAAGTTGTGTTTCGTCGTGTGAGTGAAGTTACCGGAGGCCCATCTTTCCCCTCCTCCATCACTCCCCAATCCTTAAACCTCCAACCCAAATAACCTTTAGCACCAAAACAACCAAAACACACAAGCAACGCGCTCGTAACTCTTTTGGTGTTGCAGGTGTCCATTCACGGCGCCGATTGCTCTTACCATCAGGTAATCAGTCTGCTAGTTTGCCGACCTATCTTATAATAATGCACTTTTTAATAGTTTTACCAACACTTACCAAGAACATCTGATAGGTAAGAGGCGGTATGCCGCCATTAGCCTTGATGACGGTGTCAGGCTCCCACAGAGTATGGGAGACATGTTCCTTGCAGACAACGCCTATCTCCTTACAGGCATTCTTCACGCTATCGTCGCGAGCTCTCCACACTGGCTCGCAGTCCTGCTCGAAGCAGAGCTTACGAATACCTTGAGGTACAATAATAGATGTATCTAAGTAAAACTTTCTACAAATAATCTAGTAAAAAACACATGTTTATTCCAGATAATGAAGTCGGTTAAAAAAGGCATACGTCACTCACCTTCCTTTCCTAAAATGACCCTTACATGATTTTTTTTTAATTGCACACACTACTCATTAATTCCCGGTTTCCGAAAGCCCGATCAATGTTAAAATCAACTAACTAGGTGTCAAATCTCTTGTCAAGATCTGATTGTTTGTTGATAATTCAGTCAACCAATCAGATGACTTGACAAGAGATTAAATTGATTTTAACATTGATAGGCATTTCGGAATCCGGGTGTAAGTTTCTTTACTAGGCATTCTTTCCAAGCTGGTCAGAAGTTTGAAGATACCAACACTAAGTACTATCGACACATTTTACTGTTCCCTGGCTTGGTTTGCTTATAATGTCAATGAAATAAAGAATTTAAATGCAGTAAGTAGTCTATAGATTATTATAGACTAATTAAGGAAGATATGGCAAAATATCAGTTGACGTTCACAGGCACCCGGCGTGAAATAACCACAGCGTTGCACTTCACCGTGAATTGAGTAGGAGGGAAGGGGAGTTCTGGAGGCCAGAACTTACACCTACCCCGTCCCTCTCCAATCCTAATATGACCGAAACCGTAATCCCAAAAAAAAAAAACGAGAACACCCTTATGTGGGTGTCCATAGGCTGAACTGATTGCTTACCATTAGGTAATATGTCTGTTTGTTTGCCGCCCTATCCTATATCATACAAAAAAGTTCCTATTAATCACTCACCGAATTCCTCCCAAAGTCTCCTGAACACGACGTTAGGTTTTCCCTTCAACATGATGAGGCGGCCACCATGCTTCTTGAATTGGCTGTCCAAGTCATCCAGAGCTTCGAGGAGGTACCGCATACGGTTATAACCGACCACTTTGGTGCCTGTCCATGGATCACATCATAAAATAGTCACTATTCATTAATAAGACGAAGACATATTTAACATGATAACCGGCGTATAAGTCTCATGGTTAACCATGAATACCGAATATGAAAGATAAAAATAAAAAAAAATCCTTGGTAATCATTATTGGATTTGGCAATAAGTTTAAAACTTTTTGGAGACATAGTTAATAGATTTTTCTCCTTAAACTGCTGTCGCTATTTGGTCTCATTTTAACTATTAGTTATTGTATTAATATTACATTAAATATTTTATTATATACAATATTATAAATAAGAAACTTTCGAGACTGATAGCAGATGTATTGTACCAATCTTACCAGCAGTTTCTCCATCGAAGATGAAGATCGGAAAGAATGGAAACCCCTTCTCTTCGAGCGCTGAGTGCAGTGAGGGGTTGTCGTGGAGCCTCAACCCGTGTCGGAACCAGAGTACGCTACCACCTAGCATTGTGGCTATTGAAAGTTACCTGGTGACAAACAGATCAATTAGAACAAGGCTATGTGACAGAAATAGAATGAACAAGAATGTAATCGTCGATAGAATCTATACTCTTCATACAGATTTTGGCATTGACTGACCAAAGATTGGTACCGTATTATAGTAGGTAATCGTCAACCGAGCTAAAACTGGAAAACTGGACGAAAAAATATGTCGCCTTAGCGAAAGTACTGAGTACTAAGGTATCGCGGCTTCGGCTTAAAGCAGGAGAAGGAACGGGGGTTTTTAGTCAGTAAGAGTCTGACACTCCGTGTCGCAAACTCGCCTCGCCTTCGCCAAAAGAAGACATTTGGCGATTTACAAAAAAAAAAACACGTAAGTTCAATAAATATCATATAGTTACTCCCCAAAATAGTTATTAGCCGCTAATAAACCTCGCAGAAACATGCAAATATTTTCCATGAAAAAATCGCTACTAAACAGAAACGCCCAACGTCCTTGAAACAACGCAGACGTTATAACTTCGAAACAGAGAAAGGGAGAAAAAGAAAAACTTATTTCGTACCTACTTTTGTTACAAAAAAAAAAAGGTTACATGTCGAAGCCAAACAAGACTGCTCAAGGTGGCAATGGGAATATTGAAACCGTTATAACTATGCAATCCATAAATCTAAGTACCTAATACCCACTGAAGTAGTAGGTATAAATGTAATTTTTTGTAAACATTTTTCATCACCACATAGTATAAAACAAAGTCGCTTTCTCTGTCTCTATGTCCCTATGTAGATAAAAACTAATATTATTAAAACGACGCAACGGATTCTGACGCCGTCTTTTTAATAGACAGAATGATTGAATAGGAAGTTTAGTTTATGTACATATAATAACATCCATGAAATAGCATCAGCATTGCACCCGAGCGAAGTGGGGGCGGGTCGCTAGTAATAGTAATAAAATAAAAGACCGTCGAATCGATCAAAGTCATTGATTGTACAAGGAATTATTGCAAGTACTTAATTAATTAATTAACATGACCATGACAAATAATGCAAGCTTGTATGATATAATAGTGATAACGTTATGCAATAATAGTAAACCGATATTATAAACAAATATTCAGAAAACGAGGAAACTTGATAAAGATCGTTTTCGCGTATTTTCTCATCATATAATTGGAAATGGATCCTTAAACCTATTTAGAACAGCAGCAAGGAACAGGGGGGTTTTTAGTCAGTAAGAGTCTGACACTCCCTCCCGCCCGGCTCTGGGCGGGAGAAGTCATTTGATGATTTTCCCCTCACAAAAAAAACCTACTTAGGAAAACCTGTCATCCCAAAGACAGTTTGATATATGTAATTAAGTAATTCGATTATTTTTAATTAATTAACATAATTAATTAACATAGTCAATACTAATAAATACGCTATGCGTAAAACTGTATTAAAATATCAAAATTATGATTTAAATAAAGACTTGTTGATTTGTCTTTTTAACAGCAATTTTAGAGAGGCTATCTGTAGTTGTTTGGGCTTAGAAAGTCGTTAACGGACGTAATAAAAAAAAACAGTTCGGCGGCCAAAACCCTAATAACTTAATAAATTTTAATTTTAAAACCCTCCCTTTCCTTTGTTTAATTCATTAGTTGAACAGATCATGATCTGAATCACTGTTGTTGAACTGAATCACTGTCACCAATGAAATGAATTCACTACATTAATAAATATGAATAAATAAAGTTGTGCAAAAATGAATCATTTTACCGAGCCAAAAAAGAAAAAAGAACAAATATACGATTCGGTTTCATTTTGAAAGCCTACATTAAAGCCTGCAATTGAAAACGAGGACTTTTCATTTATTGAAAAATAATAATTAGTAATCAGACTTTTTAACTACAGCACATTTTTTCCTAACAAATCTTTTAAATAAAGTTATCTATCCGACCTCCTAATTTGGCAAGCTACCTATGTATCTAATTAATAGACGATTTGAAAAGAAAACAATAGTTTAAAAAAGGTTCAAAATCGCATCATCATTTTACTAGCTATTCTCGCGCGGTTTCAACCGCTGCTCGACTCCATTTGATCGTAGGGTGATGTTTTAGCCTATAACAGTAACGAACATTGTAGCTATCTATCAGTGAAAGAATTTTGGCAATCGCAAGAACGGTTCCAAAGATTACCTCCTATATACAAACTTACAAATTTTACCTCTTTATAATATTAGTATAGATAAAAAAATAAATATATTCCAGTCCTAAGCCATCCCTACGTCTTATTATTTAAATAAAAGTATTATTAGTTGTTCCGTCGATAAGAGACGCATTTCGCATGAAAATTTTAATTGTTAGTAGGTAGTAGCGAGAGGCCTGAACCTGAAAATATTATACGTTTCAGTAATTGTTTGTTTTCATTACAAAATATTGACTTCACAAGCTTCTTTGAAATAAATCGACAGACGCAAATGACCCAGGTATAAATTCACTGAATACATGAAATTTACAAACCAATATATTTATTGTATCCACAGAACCAATTCAAATAACCCCTGATTTTGCATTTGTTGTGATTCTGCATTCAGTCTAACTGGTAATAATTTACATGAAAGTAATCCAATTTGTATAGCTTTTCATATTTGAAAGTGCTAGTTCGTAGTTAATATTGCTAAGTAATAAATAGGTAGCTATATATTAGTGTAAATAAATAAAATTGTCTACCTACGCTACTTTAAATCTAAAGTAATAAAATGATGACACCATTTCTATGCACTGAAAACCAGTTTCTTGTTAATCACCTAGGTAATATTAAAGATTATAATTGCATAATAACACAAGGTTGTTCCGTAAACACTATCGTGAACCTTGTAGTTGCACGGTAACACTACGCGAGAACTAGACGAATGCAACTCTATGCAGCGCTGTGCATCTACACATTGAATAACAAAACACACGTCATGGATGCTATTATCTCAGGCCATTCAATGTTCATAACAAATCTATGTCAAGAATAAATACTAATACATTACAAACAAACCATTTTCACTCATACTCACAACAAACTCGTTCAATTTCAAATCGAGATTCCAATAATTATAGACGTGCCACTAGCCTGAGAGACGAATGCGTACTGAGGGCGACACTCCGCAAAACTCAGCAGCAAATAAAATCGTACCTTCTAGAACATTCTACGTTTCCGATATCGTACAATAAGCAACCTTTGAAAGTCACCCGACCAACGGTAGTTGAGCTCCGGGAGTCTTGGCGTTAAATAGAAGGAAAATGGTTTAGATGGGTCAAGGAGAGACAGCTAAGAAAGTTTTTGCAATCTGCGAAAGCACTGGAAATATAAATTATACATTTGCGGTACTTCAGCGGTGATGTTATGAAACATGCATATAATTTTCATATGCGCATATTATATGCGATGCCTTCTTATTGCTCTGCATTCAATTCCAATCATTTGCAATTTATTGATGATTTGTTTATTGATTTGATGTTGAACTGTGACCTGTTCAATCTTGAGGGATGATTCGAAATTCGGAGGTAGAGTAACTGTTTACTTCAAATAGAGTAGTAAGTTACCATTAGTTCGGGATGCCAATAATGATGACTTTACCTCATTTAAAGTCTTCAGGTCAAAAATGTAACAAATTTTCATCCTTTATTGATTTCAAGTTAGCAACATAATAATAACCATATTATGCAGCTACAATCGTTATCGCTGATGACGCAGGCGATTACGCCCTTGACAATAATGCACAGATTATACTGTTTTCCGAAAATGCCGCGAAAATGTTGATGCAACTGGCCATTATTTCTCCAATATCCAACCATAAATAACATCTTACAACAATACCTATTTCCTGTTACAATTTACTGTATTTTTAATTTTCCATAGTAAATAAAACCGATTCTATAAATAATAACGTCAACATTGCAAGATACATCAACGAAACACAATACATCCACACTATGCACGAAAATTGTCAACACTGCAATTTATCCATGTATTCACGAATTTATAAACACATTAACATTTATTGAATAGTTCTAGAAACTTCAATGACTTATAAAAATATTCCAAGGAAACTTCCTTTGTATAATGTAGGGTTAGATACGATACATACATCTGATGGAAATGTAGTTTTACATACAGTTCAAAATCTGTATGCAGTTCAGTTCATATCATCATCAGCTTATAGGTAAGAGCCCACTGCTGAGCAAAGGCCTCTTCTCACACGGAGAAGGTTTGAGAATTAATCACCTCGCTTGCTCAAGGCGGATTGGCGATTTCAAAGTTATAATTAGAAATTATACGTCCAGGTTTACTCACGGTGTTATGTTATGAGAATATTTTAAATGGAACAAAAATTATAATTTATTGAAATAGCTTGTGAGGGGTTACAATTTATTCTATGGAAACTGTCTCATTGGAATGGGTGTATGAATTTAAAGCTCCTAATTAGGCGTCTACATCAGGGTAGAATATGGGCCTCTAGCATGGCTTGAAACTAGTCGAGTATCTCGTCAAATTATTACGTGAGTTAGCCGATATACATAATAATTAAGGGTAGACAGGGTTTAAAATCCACACAAAATAAGAATTTTTCCACTACCTTCGGTAATCGCGTCACTGCTTAGTATGCGTAATCGTTGTGTTTTGTATTTTGGATGGTCATGTATTGATCTATACAGACATAAATTAAATTTTTATGCAGAAATACCTTAAAATAACACCCTACTAACTAATTATTTCAAAAGTAGTTTTATACCTTACTCAATTCTTTGTCCCTTTTCTCCTTGCATTCAACTAAACGAAAGTCCCTTTCTCTCTAAGTAATTATCAAAAGCAATTTCAATTGTTTGGGTGACGTAAAAGGCCAGTAGCATAACATTGAAGCCTGCATTGAATCACATTATTGGATTTCTGTCTAACGCAGGATCGAGTCTGATTGTTAGCTACGAGACGAGACTACATACTTAGATAGAAAGGTACGTCTATATAATATTTTCTATTAGTATCGATTACAGAAAATACCTAACGGGACATCTGAACCTTTGAGTTGATCTACGGTTATGTAGTAAAGCTGTTGTGTACTTTAATTTGAGTTTGCATTTGATAGCTCAGAGAAAAGCTCAGTTTTTTTTTCGGTCTCTAGCGAGCTGTTCGGATCAGCTTATGGTAAGCAATCTGCGCTGCCGATGTGGCTGTCTGACAACAAAGGAGTTTGGAATGCGTTGGGCCAATTAAAGGTCGAATTTATGTATGGCCAATTACTAAAACACAAAAATAACTTCGATACTAAAACCTCATTCAACAAATCATAAAGATTTATGCTTCTTAATTTAAACTTTAGAAAGGGCAACCTAACTGAGATATCTATTTTAGGGTACCATTTCAATGAAACTTAAAGTTTATTTCGATTCGAAAAGAAAAGCTTGAAAGAATATTCATGGTTGCATAATATTCTTACGTCATTCTACAAAATCGCCATAACACTCAACATTATGAACGTTTTTCTTACCGAAATATGACTTGGGTTACCCTAAGCAAAATATGACTTGGGTAATGGTCGCAGAAATAACCTGTAACACATTTTTTATAAGGTAAGTACTTACCCATGATACAAATTAATTATCATGTTTTGTTTATAAATTGAGGACCCTATTTTTACCCAATCATATCATAGTCAGAGGATTTTAGCTTTAGTAGCTTTTCAGTTTCTACCACGCGCTTTCGCACTTAAGCTGCTAAAGGACTAAGAGAAAATTGATTAAAATCTTTCGTTGGAATAATGTAAGCAATTTTGGAAAACTACTGAACTAACATACCTATAAATTGATTTGTATAGCGCTGAGAAGCCTGACAAATCTAGCAATCGTAGAACTGAGAGCCATATTTACTAATACTGTATGAGAAATATAGGTCATAGCTAGTCAAAGCGTTACCTTTCAGAGCGTTTTATTGGCATACGTAATACGTAACAACTTATCTGCTTATGGACGCAAGGCCTGTAAGACTGAAGCATTTTCTTATTCTTATATTATACCATATATTATATATTATTATCTTTATGCTTGTTCTTAACTTTCTATAGATAGGAAGTCGTTTGCTAAACCTACAAACCAATTCACACGAGGGATGCTTTGACATGGATGTGTCGGGTTACCACCGACTCACAGAAATCTGGCGCAAAACAACGTTTGTTTTGTATGTTGCTATGTGAGTAACGTTGCGAGAGCTCTAATTATCCCAAAAAACAACACCATGAGCGGTGCTGTTTTGCTTATCCGATGATCTGTTTTAACATATTTTACCCACGCTAATTTCATTAAAAAATTAAAAAAAAATGGTTTAAGAAAAAAAAGCTTAGACAACGCTTTGTTTAGTTTTGTGAGCGAAAAATCATGAAATGGCTTCACTCGCCCAGGGTGAGGCGAGAGAGCGAAGGTCAGGACGTCACTGCGTCTCTCAAGCCACTCCCCAAAGAGGGGTCTTACCGCTACTATTGTAGAGACAACCTTGCATTAGTTGCGCGGTAGCTGGGCAACTGGCTGTCGTGCAACGTGTTCGGTTCCCGCACGGAACAACTCTTTGTGTGATCCACAAATTGCTGTTCCGGGTCTGGGTGTGATGTGCATGTGAAATTGTATTTTTGTAACCGCACCCACGACACAGGAGTAAATCCTATTATGGGGCAACGCTTTAAAAAGAAAATAAAATAATAATATTTTGCCGTGTGAGTGAAGTTACCGGAGGCTCAGTCCTTCCCCAATCCCTAAATCCCCCAAACCCGACATTTTTAACCTCTAAGGTCGGTTAACGTACTCGCAACTACTCTGGTGTTGCAGGTGTCTTTGATTACCATCAGATACGACATGCGTGCTCATTTGCTGTCTCATTACAGAAAAAATATAGAAAAACCTGACGAATGCATTAAGCACTAGGACAACACAATAAAAAGTTTCCAGTAACTTCCATAAAGTTGATAACATGGGGTAGTATTGTATTACAGAAATATCCAAATACAGTGCGTCATACATAATTATTATATCACACGGATTAGCAAGTTCGAATTTAATATAATACGTGTACAAATAAACCTGACGGAATTATACTAAAGTGTGTTATTACGACCATTACACAATTAACGTGTCTAGTATCAAAAAACAATAAATGCGAAATTAAAGGCGTATTTTCGATATTATTACCTAGATGCATATTAGCTAGCTACCTACTACTCTGTCAAGAAAGTACCGGGAAAAAGTCAATAATACACAAAATGTTTGTTATTCATCTAAATTTATTTTATCACCTTCAAAGTATGCTCCTTCAGAAACGATACACTTACGCCAATGAATAATCCAATCATCGAAACTTTTTTTAAACGCTGTTTCCGGAATTGAGTTCTGTGCTCGCCGCGAATTCTCCTTTATGTCTTCTAACGATTGAAAACGGGTGCCACGAAGGGGTAATTTGAGTGTGGGAAAAAGAAAGAAGTCGGCTGGAGCCATATCTGGTGAATATGGTGGCTGCTCGATGGTGTTTGTTGAGTGTTTGGACAAAAAATCGTTTACAATGATGGTCTTGTGCGAAGGCGCATTATCGTGATGCAAAATCCAAGAATTTTCTTTCCACATTTCTGGCCTTTTTCGTCGAATTTGTTCTCTTAAACGCCGCATAACGCTCAAATAATATTCTTTATTTACCGTTTGACCTTCGGGCACGAATTCTGAGTGCACAACACCGCGATAGTCAAAGAACAACAGTCAACATGACTTTGAAGGCGCCATTCCGAAGCTTGTTGACTAGTTTGCATGTCAAACTCGTAAACCCACGTCTCGTCACCAGTAACAATGCGTTTCATGAATGTTGGGTCGGTATTGACTCGTTCTAGCATGTCCTCAGCGACTTTCATGCGATTTAGTTTTTGAAGAAAATTCAGGTCTTTTGGGACTAGCCGAGCGGCAACACGTTTCATACCCAAATTATTTGTTAAAATGGTACGGATCGACTCGTGAGATACAGAAAGTTCGGCGGCCATCTCTCTCAAACTTGAATGAGGATTTTCAGTCACTATTTCCTTCACTTTTGCGATGTTAACTTCAGTTGCAGACGTTGGCCTACCAGAACGAGGCAAATCTTCCATCACATCTCGACCGTTTTTGAACGCTTTGTACCACTCATAAGCACGTGTTTTTGATAAAGTCGATTCACCGTAAGCCTTCTGTAACATTTTGAGTGCCTCCGAACACGAAATTTCATTGGCGATGCAAAATTTAAGACAAACTCTTTGTTCGATGTTTTTGTCCATTATGAAATTCGCAATACACACTAGATATTATAAAACTAAAAACAGCACTGTTTTTAATATAAATAACAGATGCAACTCAAATTCCGCGCCAAAATGGAAAACAGTTATGCCAATCTAACAACAACAAAAACAATTAAAATTCGAATTTGGAACCATAAAAAAAACATTCATTCCCGATACTTTGTTGACTGAATGTATACCTATAGTACGCTCGTACTAAGCTGAGAAGTTTGTTAGTTTCTTAATCTTTGGAAGTTTTGGTTCGATATTTTTTAAGCCTTTGATTGCCGACAGAAAACTGTTGAAGGCAAATCCTCCGCTAACGGAGGTCACCGGTGACCCCCATTGCGTTTAACTTTGCTCCACAAGTTTTTCTCGTGTCTCGTAGCTATGTTTACAGACATGTATGTTTCATCATTTCACATACACAATTTGTGGATCTCACTAAACATGTTCGGTGCGATAATCGAGACCGCGACACGTTGCACGATAGCCAGTTGGCCAGCCATCGTACTAACAATGCAGTCAGAAAATCAAAGAGTGGTTATATCGTCATTGCTGAAAATTGATCATTGAACCCATATTATTATGGGATAAATAAAGGTTTCATCCTCAGTCTGATGCGTTCGAGCTGTTTCTGAGCACTGCGAGTCATAAACAATCAAAGGCTTTTTGTAAGGTGTAAGGTAAAGACCATATTGCTCACTAGCGCCACTCGAAAGACCTCTAATTAACACACACACAAACCACCTTATTTCATATGAACTTGTCAAATAAACTCCATGTGACCTTTAGTTATCGGATTTGTGGCTCCCCAATGCATCAAATGACCTAGATCTGTCCAGTTACACCATTTTAGTACCTATGAACAATGCACATGAATATTGCAGTTGCAGTGATGCTATTATCATTGCCTTAGGTTGAAATTCGCGTGTTCGTTGCTTAGTTATCGTTGTAGTTTGTTTAATCCTGTAGGTCGATTGATATAGAAGTTATAGGTAGTGCCTGTTTAATGAAGGTTACGTAATTCTTCATTGGAGAATGATGAAAATTCCACTTTGTTTGTGAGCAACAGGCTGTACTTTCGAGTCATATACGTTCGAACCAGTTTGGTGACACTACACTGGTCGCATCGTAAGTTAGATTTTTCTAAAGAGTACCGTGCGAGTTTGCGTTACGTTGATGTGATCGACATGTTAATGACGTTCAGCCAATGACGTATTATATATAGACACGTCATGAACCAACATCGCGGCGCTTAAAAACGGCGAAAATACTAGATAACTACTACTACGAGTAAAGAAAGGGAAAGAAAATATGACATCGTATAGTGGAATGCCTTTACTAGAGGGAGATAAATATACATCTTCAGTTATGCCGACGGCACGTGACTATACCTTCATTCGCCGGCCGCCATAAGATGGCGGGCGCCGGCGTCGAAAAAAATAAAATAAAAATAGGTTGTTTGGCGAACTTACGCATGAAATTACACATTTTTGTCTTTAACTTTTGGAGTATAATTTGAACATCGTCTGAACACACACGACGACATGCTTTCTTTTTTTTTGCACAGGTTTACACACACGATATAAATTAGAAACAAACGTAGCGTCGCGCAGCAGGTTGGTGCGTAACTAAGCGCGATGTTGTCAATTGCCTTCATTTCATGTTGTCATTTTAGAGCGCGGACAACGTATCTATAGTTTTATACATCATTGCGTTCAGCGCTATGATTGGCCTACTCCCAGTTAAGCAATCAATCAAAGTATTTATCGCTGAAACATTTTGGTTGCGTAAACGAAGAACAATTTGCACTGGGCTCAAAAAACTTTTAGTACAAATTTAAAACTACCACTTGTAAAAATATTTATTCCCAAAATGCTTATAAAACAGGAGGAAATCTAAGGTTAAAATGTAGCCTTGTTTTGCCTACTGCATGAAGTAAATCAATGTCAAGCCAAGCAAGGCTCGCTTTTCTTGCATGAGAGTACGAAACCTGGTGAGTAAAAATATAAATTTTTCAATTTTTATGTACCTTCCTCCACTATTTACCAGACGCTATTGACATTGATGAAAGGAAAACATTGTGAGGAAATCTGAACTTGTAATATAATTAATAATAAGTTTGAAATTACTAATCCACTTTGAGCGAGCTTGGTGATAAACACGTAAACCTCATTTTGCAATGAAGCCTTTCCTTGGCAGTGAGCACTTATATGCTGATAACTATGAGGAATAAAAAAAATTAAATTTATGGATATGGTAACATTCAAACAATTTACTACCAACTTCATATTACACAAACATAGGTATTGTTATATTTATAGTGTACTTTTACAGTCTATTCTATCCAGTAATTAATGTGAAGGCATGCATCTCACAAGTTTTAATGATCCTCAGGTAATAATTTCTAAGTAACAGGATAAATAGTAAATAATAACACACACATACACTATAATGCATAAAATAATAAAAACATTTATTTTTTGGCAACTTAACTTTTTTTGCTAACTTAAAATTTTTTTTTAATTAATTTCTTTATTTCAACTTTTTTTATATAATATGTGTGTTTAATTTCAATTGCTTCTTAAAAATTATTTATGGTAATTATTGACATAATTTTACTAACTATGCTTTTAGCTGTTGATTGCCATCTATAGCTAAAAGCATAATTTTATTATTTAAAAGTAAAACTGAATGCATAGTAATTATCATTTATATCAGGTAAATCTAATTAGGATTACTACCAATATTTATTATAAGTGTTATGTACCACCAATAATTTGATTGTTACCACCTATTGTTTGAGAAAGTGTTGTGATAACAAATTCCACCCAATGTTTATTAATTAAAAAAGTATTGAATGGAGATTTAGCACATTCAATAATGGAAATCTCAAACTCCTCATTTATTTAATTATTTATTTATTTATACTTCATGCACAATTTGTATGTACATAAGGCGGACTTAATGCATTGAGCATTCTCTACCAGTCGACCTTTGGGTGATGCAGAGAATCCAGTAGTAGATGCAAGAAGCAAGCGAAATAGAGTAGTATAACATAGGTTTATATAAACATACATAAAGTACATAGAACTATATATATGTATATATATATATATATATATATATATATATATATATATATATATATATATATATTTATAAAACACATACTACTTTGTATTCTAACAATAACAATAAACAAGCATGGTATAGGTACTCACCTTTGGGTCCACTACGCAAAACAGCTGATTCAGGTCTTGTTGGAACTTACAAAATTTATAAAAACAAAGGTCATTCTTATGCCATTTCTGTTACGACATAAATACAAAAAGAACTTTACTGAAACTCATAAGAAAATAAAATAATAACAAAATATTCCACTTAAAGAAACTACAGACAGAACGTATTTTGGTAATTCTAATTTGACGTTGTGACAGTGCAGAGTGACAGTGACACATTTGTTTAGGTGCCAGTATACCATAAATTAATGAAAATCCCAAATTATAGGTGAATTAATTATAGTAAGTCATTAAACAAAACCTACACTAATATAGTGAAATAAAATGTCTTTGTAGAAATCTATAGATATAAATAGAACCCAAATCATTCGAAAACTGAATGGCTTTTGTCAGAACTGTCACTGTCAGATGTCATTGTAAATTATTTTCATTCGTTCACATCTTTCCTTCCTATTATCATACATAACCTCAAAGATAGAATTAGGCATTCTTTTAAAGAAAAATTAAGTAAAATACTTACAATCATGAATGGTGTAAGAATTATTAGGAACCTACCTCTGCAATGGCGATCTTTTTCACGATGGTGAGCACAAAACTTACAATTTAAGTGTCTAGTTCTTAAGGTTATCAAAATATTGAGTGCCCGTCCTGAATTCATTTTTAAACACGAACAATTCTTATTCTGCATTATTACATAAACACAATGTTATCTTTTCAAACAGTACGTTAGTAGGTACTCTTAAATAAAAATAAATTGTTTATGATTTCAGTGCTATTCTCCGTCAAGAGGTAGCTCAAGCAGCAACCCCTTTATCTATCCCAGTGCCGGAAGGGGTAGACAAACCTGTTTCCCCGAAAATTGAGAAGATTGTCTCTGAGATCACGAATCTAAACCTTTTGGAGGTGTCAGAACTTAGTCAAGTTCTTAAAAAGAGGTTGAATCTTCCTGACGCACCTGTAATGCCCATGGGTGGCTTCGTTGCGGCGGCTCCTGCTGCTCAGGATGAAGAAGAAGCTGCTCCTAAAGCTGTGAAGACTAGCTTTACTGTAAGTGTTTGCAGCCTTCTACAAGTATTCAAGCTAACATTTGAAGTTATTTTCCATAAAGCAAATAAAATAGTGATAAATGACATTACCTATTTTTGTAACTGAACTAAACATGATCAATTAATATTATATGTTCTAATAACATATTTTTTCTCTCAGGTAAAACTCACCAAATTTGACGACAAACAGAAGGTGGCACTTATTAAAGAAGTTAAGGGTCTTCTGGAGGGTTACAATCTGGTTCAAGCCAAGAAGTTTGTTGAGAGTGTCCCCGCAGTGGTGAAGGCAGATGTTTCCAAAGATGAAGCAGAAAAACTCAAAGAAGCTCTTAGCAAAGTCGGTGGTGTCATAGAAATAGAATAGATGGTAAAGTTAGGTTAAGTGTTTAGTGTGTAAATTATTTACAGAAATAACAAAATAAAATATAAAAATGCATTTAAACATGATTATTATTTATTTTTAAAATTCCAAATAAATTGCCATAAGTCCAAAGTTCCTGCACCTGCATCAATTATTGCTGCTAAACAATTGTGATATTGGATTTTAAAAGTCTAATGTGGCTCCTCAATCCTGATGTTCATAAAATTTTGTAGAATCATTCAATTTTAAAGCACCTACGGTGTAAATGACTGCAAGCTTACATACTATAAAAGAAATTATTGCTTAGTAAAATCAAGCTCGATCATAAAAGTAAACAGGTAGAGGTAGTAAAACACCAGCTCCTCAGATGCACCATTTCAAATTTCCAAGAGGCTCATCAACGATGATGCGCTTGTAAAGCCTGACTCCGAAGCTTCGAAAACTGGTGGCAAGTCGGACGGACTTGCCACCGACAATTAGGACAAATAACGTGTTACACGCTCGCACGAAGCGTTTTGGTTCGAGTTTCCGAACCGCAGCGCTAAGCGCTTTTCCATCATCGCTTAGGTACAACCAGGCAAGATAGAGGCGGAACTTCGACATATTAAAACGTACTTACATAAAAAATTGTGGAAGAGTCAAGCTTCGGCACGAATGGATAGTTTCGTCGTGACCGGAAACCGAAACCTTTCACCCCGATCCCTCCCCAATCCCAAAATATTTGAAACCCTAGACCATACTCCAAAAGCCCGGCAATTCGTCCAGGATTTACGAATGGTGGTGTAGCAGGTGTCCATGAGCGGCGCCGACTGGAAACATTCCAAGATTCGTTAAAATTAATTAAGATTAAGATTGGGATAGCCCTAGAGATTTCTATCCGCATCACCACAAAACAACAATGGCCAATTTAGGTATCAATGGAAAAATATGATCACGACCAGTTTGAGAGCATTTTTCTCCGGACGCCCTTTTTGTCCAGACGCGATCGACACGTTTATTCTATGTCGTTCGGCATTCTGATTGGCCTGCTCCAAGTTTATTAACCAGAGGGCTAATAGTGGTAATGATCACGTTCAACATCATCAGCCAGAAGAAGTTCACTACTGAACAAAGGCCTCTCTCTTCGTCCTCCACGTCGAAGGACAAGTTGCCGCCTGCATCCTTTGGCTTCCTGAGATAATGACGATGTCGTTGGTCCACCTAGCGGAAGCCTCACTGTCCTTGGCCGCCGCTCGATTACCTACTTTCGGGCCCATCGACCGTCCGTCCTTTGAGCGATGTGGCCTGCCCATTGATCACGTTAATATAAAGAAAAATCGTACTTGGCACCCAGGTTGAATGAACTCCCACAGTTTATGCCATGTGGGCTGGTGCTGCCAAATGCCACCTAGCGGCTTTGGATTCAGTGGAAAGGCGTGCAAAGAGGTTGATTGGTGATCCAGATTTGGTTGGGTCCAATCTTCAAAGTCTCGAGCACAGGCGCAGAGTAGCCAGCTTTGCGGTTTTCTACAGGATGCATTTTGGAGAGTGTGCCCAGGAATTGCACGATTTGATTCCGCCATCCCAATTTCAGCTTCGGACATCCCGGCGCACGGCGAATATCCACCCCCACGTTATTGAGACACCTGCGGCCCGGACTAAGCGTTTGCCTCGTCATTTATACCGCGTACATCGAGGGATTGGAAGTTTGCCGGCTGCAGTCTTTCCGTCCGAATACAATTTAGGTGTCTTCAAGACTAGAGTGAATAGGCTCTTAATAAACTAGTGCGCCTTACCATCAACGATTGCATCACTGCTTACCATCACGTGGGATCGCAGTCAAGCACTAGTTTATTGCAAGAAAAAAAAATGTTCTAGAATGATCTCACAATCGCAATTTCCCTACTTATCGCAGCATAGGATCCTAAAAAAACATCTAGGTACGTGTCAACCGTAGGTACCTATATAGGTAGGTGGACTTTCAATTTCCATTCAATTCATTAGCATTAAACACGCTTGCTCAAGGCGGATTGGCGTTTTCAAACGCTATAACACGTCATGGTAGGCCCTCAGGTTTCCGGTTACGAAGTTTTCCTTCACCGTTTGTCAGTGGTGTCTAAATAATCATAGAAATTACACATAACTCGGAACAAATCACATTGGTACTTGCCAGGTTTCGAACCCTCGCTCAACGAACGCATGAGAAGATTGAGAAGCGACATTGGACGTGTCGACGATAACGAGTGGAGTTACCAACAAATAGAGCACACTCCCGGTTGGTGTCAAAGCTTTGTAGCTAGTACCTAGGTACTTACATTAAAATGAAAATATATATTACACACACATAGGTAGGTACTGTTATATTCTTTGAATACTATATACCGTAGATATATATCCATAAGTCATTAATATAAAGACCGTGACCGTGACTGAACTTACGTTTTAATAACAATTGAACCGTCTCTCTCTACGTACGTAAGAATACCCAAGTGTATAGTTAGATATTATATTATTTGCTTAATAATCACAGTGTTTCTGATTTGCACATCTTTGTAAAGATACCTACTATGCAAGCATGAGATAAAATTTAAATTTCACACCTAGGCCATCGTCATCTCTAGGCCCATAAAAATTTTGAAGACAATTTCACAATGTTTTGCAATTACTTACTATCTATTTGGTTTGCAATGAAGATGAGCTGAAAATAGTTATTTTATTAAGTAAATTTCATATGTATATAGGGCTCTGTCACAGACTCTCAGCTATTTCTTATCCGCATATAAAAGTGTGATTATTTTTGTCGATGTTAATCCTCATAGGCTTCTCTAGTCGACGACGGGAGTGTGTATGTAGTGAGCCTTAGAGAGTGCTTCCCATCCTGTAGTGAACGAAAAGGCCTGTACCTATATACCTATGTATAGAACACTACATAAACGCCAACTTCCGCCCATAATGTCCATACAGTGAATGTCCGACTCAACTTGCGAGTCTCCCTCAGGATTAAATAGGTATTGACAAAAATAAATTGACAAATAAACACTAGCAACATTATAAGTACCTAACGAATGCGGAACACAGATGATTTTAAGTCTACCACTACCCAACAAGATTTCGTCAACAATATTCAACTGCAACACACATAGGTTCTCGGTATCTACCTACAGTACCAATTTAAGCAATTAAATTAACTAAACACGTGTATGGTGAGTGATTGTTATAAACAGAAAAGACCCTGAGATTGCCGCGATCAAGACGTGTAAAAAATAAAACAAACATGTAAGTACCTACCTAAGCTATGTCTACGCAAGGTTTTTACTTACTTATGTGTAGGTGGGTACTACTCATAGAGTCTGCCACACAGACGCCAGTCGATAGGCAAGTGCGCTTCCACTCAGAGCAACAAATGATGATCATAATTATGTAATAGCTACGTATTTTTGGATTTGACCTTGTTCGGATAGAAAAACGAGTTGTACTTGTAATCCTAGTCCGCTCTTAAACAGCGCGCGGCGAACACGACAAGTTCGTGTTTGCTTTAAAGATAGCAAAGTTATTGTTTTATTTTTTCCTGTGACAACTTCAACTCAATATTATCGTGTTTATTCGTATTAAATTCCATATTATATCGTTCATTCGGTGCGTCGTGACGGTGTTTAGGTGCGTTATCAAAACTGTGTGATAAAATGTGATCACATAGCGGAGGTGTGCATGTAATAAAGTTTTTAAATCAGAAAATGGAAGTGAGTAAATATTTGAAAAAGTTCAAGTTGTTATTGGAGTATGTGTTTGAAGGAAAGGTTGTGTTAAATGAGAATACTACGGAAAAACTATTGAAACTTCTGGAAGATCGCAGTGATAACAGTGAGTGGCGCACTATCTTTTATATTTTACCATACCACCACAGATTAATTAGAACGTGTTTGTAAACTTAAATGTCAACTTTGTACGTCATGTTGCTAGAGTTCCCACATATTATGATCATGCCTCTCACTCGGGCAGAAACCAGAAAGTCAATTTAAAAAAATGCATTTTCTCTTTTCACTAGTTCTATGAAATAATCTGTCTTATGTGATATCTTCGTAAGTAGGTGTGGGAACAAGAACAGAATAAGATTTTACTATATAGGGAAAATATTATTAGCGAATTAGTATTTAATATCCCTTCCTCTCCCTAAACAATCTAAACAATGTAAAGCTACTTACGGATCTATCAAATACGTGCCTGGAATTATTCAGTGTTCTGCTACTTCATTCTTTACCCATGTCATGAAAATTCGTGTTCTTAACATAAAATTCAGCAACAGCGACGTGGTCCCTTAGTAGGCACGTCAGTCTATATTTATAAGCAAAAACTCAACGCATAGAAATATGTTCTCAACTGACCAATACAAGAATGGTAAAAAATTATACTTATAGCAAAACATAACGATATAAAAACTCTCGTATCTATTCAATTGGTAAATTCTTTAGTTCTCAACTCGCTCATGTAGAAAAAGGTACCTACGAACCTAAATAAATTAAGTAAGTATAAGTATCATCCTACACTTGAAATATTTCTCATGGTTATAGGATTTAAAACCATTTGACAGTTCCGTATGTTACCGTAGTTTGTTATTCATTTGTTTTACTGCCAGGTTGTGCTAGGTATTTGTCAGGTACTAAACCTGGTACCTACGTGGCGCCACTTGGACGTAGGTAATAGTTATGTCCTTAATATAATATTTAAAAAATATCGGTACCTACATACCAACCGCCCAAATGTAAATTGGACATGACTTATCTATTTATAATATTGTATAGTTCAAGTGACTTAGGAACTAACAGATTGTCTTACACACTCTGTAAGACTGCGTTTCCTAGCCCACCCCTGGGTTCTTCCTACACCTAGGACCTAGACCTTCTCCCGAACCCTCACGATGCAATGACTATAACCTAGTTTTTTTATTAGAACCGCGAACGAGCGGAATTGTTTTCTAGGGTCTTTGTTCTCCGAATGATATAACAGGGGTCTTTGCCTTTAAGGTCCAATTAAGGCTTAAGAATGCGCATGTGCAACTTCGCTTACCGCCAAGCAAGATAGGGTCCAAACGCCTGACCTATCGAAAATAAATAAATCTTATGGGATGACGGAAAAAATAAACACAGTAGGAAAAAGAACGTGCCAGTCAGTCCCAGTTTAAGTACCCATATAACTCTCCAGGATGAACGAGATATTAAGTTGTAGTCTCATGATTAAGCAGGATTTTTTCCTAGACTGATAAATGAAAATGCTGCTGCGTCATCATTATCACCGATTGTATACGGATCGTGATAGCCAACATCGCAGTGTAGCGCCATTTTCCCACTGCCAAGGGCGTGTGTTTATATTACAGACGATAATATTTGTCATTTTAAGTTTATCACAATTATTGGCAACTGATAAAATGAGCATAGTCATCGTGTATTCGTCCGATAACGTGACAGTCAACTCACCTCATTTTTTTATTATATTATTAGTAGTAGCAGTTTGCCCCGATTGGGAGCATGGATGCTCTTCCTAAATTGTGTCATATCTAACAAAACTTTATGTAATGAATGTATACTTACTAAGTACCTATCTAATTTGATTTAGCCGTTAAGAAGTCATGTGAGTGCAAACATTTTGTCAATTCATTTTATTTAACTTAGATTGTAGCAAACAGGCAATCCTTGAACCGCGGCTGCATAATAAAATTACAATAGCATATTACACATAATTGGCGAAGATTTAAGTCTAGATAAAAATGGGATTGAAGAAGTCAAACCAATTTTAAACTTTAATGTCAATTAATTTAAGTCAGTTTCTATGACAACAGTGGCGCAAGCGCACGGCCTTATAAACACCACTCCTTTCAAGCTATAGTCAAGTTGGAACATGTGATTAGCAAAACAAGCACAATTAGAATCGCCAGCTATTATCCGGGTGTCATTACTTTCTTCTATTTCAAACACACGTTACAAACACAGAATTAAGATCACGGAGCAGGTACATGTTCCGTGATTTAGACGATGACGCTATATTAGATTTAACTACGACAATATTCTTACAAAAATTACGATAAAGTAATTTCCTTGTGTAAATAATTTAATTTTAATCTTGCCTGATTATCGTGGGCTAATCTTCTCAACCATAATTGTATATCGGTTCTTATGATAGCATAATTTACTTGAAAAAATGTTATTAAGTAGATGATTCACTTATGTACGTAGATTTGGTCGCGGTGGCAATCACTCGAAACGCAAATTTTATCACTGCTACTACTTAGTCATGCTTACCTTTCAATAACATTGTGTAAATAAATAATGTTTACTTTTTAGTAATTGCATCATGCCATGCATAAATATTTACTTTCTAGGATTTGGAAGCTGTTTTAAATAAGATAGGTATAACTTATCGGTTTGTAACTAGTTACTTAATTGGACTCTTAGCTTAGTATTAGGTAGATATTTTGTACCTATATGTTTTTAAGTATAATAATACTTAACTTTTTTGATTGGGGGATGATATAGATAGATGGCCTAATGATTTTCCTTCCCTGAATGAGGCGAGAGAAGAGGAGGAGAAAAGTCTTACTGGCTAAAAACCACATCGTTTCTTCTCCAGCTTTTAGGCTAATACATCACTATAGCGTTACATATCTGCATATTTCTTTTGGTTCGTTAAGTACTACACATATTGTTACATCCAGGGTTGCAGGGTAAGCGCAATAAGGCACCGCGGCCTCGGCCTAAAGTAAAAGAGGGAACAGGAGGGTTTTTAGTCAGTAAGTCAGTAAGAATACTCCCTCCCGCCCGATCCTGGATCGGAGAAGTAATTTGATGATTTTCCCCTCACAATAAAAAAACATCAAGTCTAATTCAACCATTTTCTATTTTCCAGGTCCCGGCAAACTCGTATTGGATACACCTTGCTTCTCAGATCTCATATTTAATTCACTCGAGAGCATACACAATGCCACGACATCAGTCAAAATCTTCCTCTTTGAAATCGTCACGATACTCTTCAAGAATGAGCTTCAGTTTGCCAAAATACATGGTTCGATTTTCACATGCATTCTCGCCAACTTGAGTACTAAAAATCGAGGGCTTAATTTGGCTAGCATAAAGTTGGCAACGGTGCAAATAACCCATCTCTCTGGACTGAAATTACTCCTCGAACATAAGGTTTGGCAGTACATACTTAATGACAACACCCACAGGGCACCTATTAAAATAGCAAATGCTTCTTACAACTTCATTACCAAACTGATTTTGGAGTTGAACGAATACGAAATGGAAACAGAACTGTCAGAAGTACTGGATTACATTGTCAAACCTATTATATCGAGCTCATATCATACATTGAAAATTATTGACAACGAGACGGACACGATACTATCAGAAAAAATATATTCCTACATGTACGCGTTGTTAAACGTACTGAAGGCTATGGAAGACTTTCCAGTTAACCACGTGGTACAAATGTTACGGTCGTGCTTCTTAGTAGAGCGTTCCATATTTGTTATTTGGAAAGTAACTAGATATCCGGCTTTACTGAAATTATCAAATGACATAATATTTGTATTCTATTACAGTTCTCATAGACACAATCTATTCAATGGTAAAACGCAAGAATTTTGTAATGAATTGGTAGTATTCCATCACAACTCCGTACAACGCTGCATCAAAAAACGAGAAATATCAGTTCTTGTTGACTATTGTATTAAATGTAACATATTCTGGTCAAAATTCGAAAAGACTTATAAAGACAAAATATCGTTTCCACTTTACTTTGAAAGAAACGGAATAAAATTTCTGGCGTCAGATCAAGTATTTGTGTTTTTGGTGCAGCCCTTACTGATGTGTGCGAACGAAATAAAACCCGGTCGGACGCAGGATGAAAAACAAGAATTTATAGAAAAGTTTTTAACAAAGATAGGAAAGACTTTAACGGATCATATATTTACTTTGTGCTATACGTACAAGCCAGTTATAGAAACCCAAGATTTGACAGAAACCGCTATTTGGACTATCAGAGAAATGTACAGATTGAAGGACCATCTCACACAGACACAGGCTGGTCTGTATTTTACGGCTCTGTACCATATGCTGGATATTTATATATTGTTAGACGGAGCTGGTGGACTCATTGTGAATAACAATCCCATAAAGACGCCGAACGATATGAGACTGTTGTCATTAGTATTGGACGCAATACGAATGTTGCTGAAGGATTACAACATATCGTGGTATGAGAACGTCGAGATCGCAAGCCTACAAGAAGGTCTCATGAATTTACTCAAACAAGACATCTTGAATACAAAGGTAAGGAGCTTTAAGTTGTTCTACAGTTTATAGGCGTTCCTCAGGGTTGTCTACTTGGTCCAAACTAAAAGAAGCCATAAAAAAAATTATTGACATCTTATTACGTACCCCGACCTAACCTAACACAACAATAAACTATGTAACCAATTGTATGGACAATATAAACTTAATACAAATTAAATTTAAATTTCAGCAAATAGTACAAGTTTTAGATCTGATAGACCTTTGCATGAAGAAGTTCCTGTCACCGAACATGACGCTGCTAGTGGAAAGCAGACAGGAGAGTACACTGACTGTGATAGGAGCAGTAATGAAGACATACATGCACCACGATGATTGGGAGGTACGGGACTCAGCTTTGAACCTACTACTAAGCTGTACGGATCTCTCTTTTATTAGTAAGTATCTAATAAAATGATTGATGTCATTCAATTATAGCATTTTTTCAAACAGAATAAAATTAATTTGAACAAAAAACTCATGAACAAAGTTTTATCTTGTCCGGAACTCATTCTAATCATATTATCGGATTATGTGTATCAGATATGTCTCCAAGTAGAGACCAAGTATGGTATAGGTACATTTAAGATCACGTCCTATCTTCAAGCCCACTGGAGTTTTTTATGAACTTAAAATTACTTAAGTCAACATTATTACTCATTTTAAACTCAAAATAGGAAATTGCTAACCAATTTAGATAAGTAGTAAAAATAGTCACTGAGTAAAGGAACTACATAAGTAGTGTCTATTAAGATCTTTAATAGACACTATTTAGAATTTTTTACGTTATACTACCGTTTAGAAAAATAGTCGTTTCAAGAAAATGTCTAATGAATTCGGCGTATGACTCAGTTATACCTACTTAAGTAATGAAAATTTAAAGTAGCAAATTCTGCTTTATTCCTCTGGACATTAAACCCAATTTCTCAACTTATTTCAGAGTACATACCCCTACAAAAGGTGATAAGTGAGAACAACTTAATGATCTACGCTGCGAAGGCCGCGCTTACCGACCCAGAGTATTACGTCCAGAGTACTGGCCTCAAGTGCTTGGCTTCAGCTACCAAGATCGACAGCATTTGGAAAGAGGTGCTCATCGATAATCCGCATATTTATGTGAGTGTTTAATACTTTAAATATTTTTTATGCTCAAAGTCAGTTTGACTTTGAGCAGTCGAGTCGAGTCGAGCAAGTCGTCAGTCAGTCAAATACAGCATTTTGCTTGTTCAGTGCAGATCCCTATACAGAGAAACGAGAAAAAACTCCATACTTCCCTCTTTTCAATAAATTTTACAGATTCTTGTTGCGTGGCCTTGAAATTTGGATGAACCGTATCAATCCTACACTAACAAAGAAATTATGTATTGATTAAAATTAATATGACTGGCTGAAAGGAGAAACTGACTGAAAGGGAGTTTAGATGTGATGATTGATGATCTGAAAGAGTAGAACAAGACTCGTTGTCCCGATACCAATAGGGTAGTTTCCAACCAGTATTTATAAAATTTATGAATGGTGATGAATTTTTGAAAAAGTCTTTTAAAATAGTATTGATGCAACCTTTGAGAAGAATGGGATCGTTAAAGGGTTTAGAAAAGACAAGACCTTTGACATCTAGAGTTGACAAAAGACTGCAAACAATAGATTTATTGATGGGAATGACAAAGGCAAATTTAATGATCAAAATCACATAGATCATAAAATTTGACTACGAAAGTTAGAAGCCCTTACGGCATAAGGGGTAACACTTATAACTTAATTGAATATTACCTTCAAACTTTTTTTTTTTTAATTTGTACACCACTAAATGGTAACCATAATGATCACTTATAATGATTTGACTGTAACATCTTTTATATACCTATATTCACAAATAAATATATTTATCTCACTCATAGATAAGCATAGGAAAGCATTAAACGTGTATAGAAACGTGCAATTTCCCTAAACTATTTCTTTAGTCTCCTAGTTTACTTGGAACACACAAGAACCAGTCATTAACCAATGCTATTTACAATTTCAGTTCCAACTGGTCTACATATTGAGAAACAACCCAGAAGGGATGGTGCGGAAAGAAGCAACGAAAGTTCTAACCAGCGCTTACAAGAACCAAAAGCTGTTACCAACTTTTCAATCAACTTTGTACGAAGTAATGATATCAGCCGCATTGGACGACTTGCACTGGGAGGTGCAGTTGGCAGCATTGCAGTTCTTCAAACACGAGATAGCCAACCAACTGTCTCAAAGAGGAATGATAGACGGGAAGTTCCCTTCCGTTACCTTCTCTAAAGAAAAACGGAAGATTATAACGTTAAACGACAAAGAAATACTCCGGCAACTCACAGCTATAATGCACGCTCTATCCTCAATAGGCTGTCTCACAGTTCTGTACGAATGTATGAACGAAATGCACCACCTAGAAGTTATGGAACAAGCTTACATCATGGCTACCGAACTAATATCAATTCTAGATCAATATAAATTCGTCAGAATCGTCGACAATGCTCTCACTTACCCCATGAACTCAAAGAACGATGATCATGATGAAGAAATGGCACTAGATTTGACTATAGCAAATAATGCTGATGCTAGAGAAAAAGTTATAGATAGCATAGTTAATACTAATCAAAGTGAACTCATTATGATTCTACATGATAACAGTTTTCAAACCAAATCTAATGAAATGGAAGAAGACTACAGCCTGTGTGTACAACGTAAAGAAATCATACATCCGAATAAATTCCTAGAAACATTTAAAGGCACGAACTTCCGTGCAATAATTAAAGAAAAAAAGAAATGGAATTCAGATGTCAATCATAATTTAGATGGACTGCTAGATGAAATTTTAGACATATAAGTTTTAGATGTAAGCTTACCAAGTATTGTTTAAGTTTCAAATGATCTTAGTATTTGATTTGTATTACTTATATTAAGTTGTAAATAAAAACAAAGTGATTTTAAGAAAATATAATGTTTACGCTTACTTATAGTAGCATTTTTTCTTCGTAACAGTAACAGTTTCTTCTTAATTAATAACAATCTAGTGCATTAGCGTCTTCATTCACTTCATATAAACATAGCACATCATCGAGTAGAGAAGACAGGCTTCTAATACCATCGTTCCATACTCTCTTATCTTCAATAATCTGTTTAAAGTCTGTATTTTTTATGTAAGTAGTGAATAAGTAGGGGGAAGCAAATTTTACTACCCTTATCTTTGGTCTTAAAGGAGGCTCTGTTTTGGTGCTTTGAAGTGTCATGTGTCTCTCGTATATGCTCGCGAGTAGGTTGACGTCATCTGCATTTAGAATTTCTTCGATAACGTTCTCAGAGCTCTGTGCATCAATCATATCTACATTATCATCTGTTTGATCTTTTTCCTCTTTTATATGAGTTAATAGTTGATCCACGGTAGTTATGTCACCTTCTTTCGGTGTTATGTTGTCTGGTACATTATGCCTTTTAAGTATATCATACAATTCTTGTGCTATATTAAGAGTAGCTTCCATTATCCCTACTTCAGTTTGATCATGAAGCAATGTAACAAAGACGGTAAGACATCCAATCGCTGATAGTTCCTCTAATATTTTTATTAATCTCCTTTGAATCTCTGCTTCATTGAGCGTGACTATTTTTCTAGTTTCCCTAGAGAATGTGACTGGTGGGAAGTTTCCGTCGAGCATGCCTTGTCCGGTGAGGAGGGAGTGGTAAACAGCCCTCCAGAACTTGAGGGCACTGATTTGGACCTCCCAATGGAAATCTGTGAGGGCTGAAGATACCATGTGTTCATATAAAGTTTGTGTAAAGGCTGGAGTCAGTTTTGTGTTTTGGTACAAGTCGCAAAGTACATTACATGCTTCTTTTCTAACGATGCCTTCTTCATTGTGCCGTAGGATGTAAAGTAATCGGTCCTGGAATAGAAATACACACATTCTATAGTTTCTCCAAAAATGAAGATTCTTTGTTTAGTAAGGGCTAAATAGACTGCTGCAAAAAATATTGTCTTCATAAGTTCTTCTAACTGTAAAACTAGTGCAAGCTACATCTATATTGCAAACTGGGTATTGGCAGGCGCATTGGGCAAGTTTTGTTATTATTTAATACCTGTATATCGGGGTACTCTGCGATCAGCTGATCCCATACGACGTTGATCCGGCTCGCTGCGCCTACGCACTTGAGCGCCGACACCTGAACGTACGACTCGTAGTCGTTGAATGCAATCGTCGCCGCTACATTAATTACATTATTCTCTAACAATTGCTTCTGGAATGGTGGGAACTCTGAAAATTACAACAAAACTAATTTAAAAATGCAACTAAGGGCTAACATGATTACAGTTCAGATTCAGTTGTGAGTGAACGCGGTCAGCGTAGACGTGTTTTTTGTTATTTTTACCCAAAACGATTGGTGTAATAAATAAATAATTTATTAATGTATACAATATTGACCTACAATGTGTATTGACAATAAGTGCTACAAGTACTAAAGTTGTGTGAACTTTTAAATCCATATAAATTCGCGATTGCAGTATCGCGTATACCCAGAACGCTGAGGTAAGCCCCTCCTCACCTCGGGTAAAAGAGATAGACCGCGAAAAATAAATAATTCGTCTCTGTCGCACACTAAAAACGTGCTCAACAGTGTGTCGTATTTTTAACAAAATATTCAAATTCCTATTTGTTTCCTGGAATTAAATTGTTTGGGAATCTACCTTACGAAAATGCCAAGCAATTGTGGTGCTTGTACCTCACCAATAAAGAATATTTTTATGGAATGTGCTAATGGTAAATGTAGGAAGAAATATCATCTAGATTGTCTTGAAATAAGCGTCGATGTATTTAATAACTATACCCAGGAATTTAAGAGGGGTTGGATGTGTCCGGAGTGTCTATGTGCTAGACCAAAAAGAGGGAATAGCGAGACTCCTATCCGTTCGCTTGACTTCAAACTGTCGTCAACTACTCCGCTTAATAGCATAAATGCTTTGCGAGGTAGTCAGATTCACGTTACTCCTACAATTATGGACACGGATACAACACTTCTTGAGGAATTAAGACAATTCCGATCAGAAATGATAAAACGAATGGATAGTCAGGCGAACGCAATTACACTATTACTGAACCAATTTAGCCAAACAAAACAGGAGTTAGATAATGTTATAAAGGTAATGAGGGTGCTTGAAGAAAAAGTTGACGCAAGGCTTACTCAGAATAGTACGGAGATGCTGAGTAAATCTACACCTAGTACCATTTCTGCGGAAATCGTTAGCATAGAAAACAATTCGAAAAGTTCTACAAGAACGACTAATACCTACGCCAAAACTTTGAAGGTAAACAAAGGTGGGGCCACGAAATCTGCTGTGAAACCGGTAGCCTCTACAAGTGTTACCGACGAAAAAATATCTGCTGATTCGTTTACTGTAGACAACGATAAGGATTCTGGCTGGACGACAGTACGCAGGCGCAAATCTAACCGACAACCTAGAGAGGTGGGGGTAGGCACGAACATCGAATTAAAGGGAATTCAAGCAACCGAGAAGAAAAAATTTCTACACGTTTGGCGTTTGCATACAGAAACGACAATAGAAGCGATAACGGACCATGTAAGAAATGTTTGTGGGTTGGATGTTAACATTAAAATAGACAAAATCAAACACAGCACTGAGCGAGATTATTCTTCGTTTGTGATTGGAGTTCCGGAAAGCTATTTTGATAAATTAAATACCTCAGATATGTGGCCTACTAATGCGGAGTTCAGTGAGTGGTTTTGGTTTCGAAAATCCACCAAAAGTATCACAAATAAATAGTATTGATATTTTTTATCAAAACGTGAGGGGACTTCGCACTAAGCTTGAAGAGTTCAGAGTTAATATTGAGTCATTGAATTCAGATTTATATGCGATCACCGAGTCGGGTTGTAATGAATCTATAAGTGATTTGGAAATGATTCCACCGGGATATAAAATACTTCGCTGCGATCGGGCGGATGGACGGAAACAAGGCGGCGCGATTCTTGTGGCCACACACCGGCTCGAGATGCGACAAGTACAAGTGACCGACGTATCGCTAGACGCGTGTGTGTTTGAATGGTTTGTGCAACGATTTACTTAAATAACCGATTTTTATTTTATGTGTTCAGTGATATATATCCCCCCAGGAAGTGGTGAGAATGACTATATGACTTTATTTAGATTAATAGAAAAACTATGTGATAAGTATAGACAAGTAATTGTGTTAGGAGATTTTAATTTTTATTCGTGTAATGTAAATATTAATAATTATTATGAATGTTTTATGTCCTATTGCAACTTCACTCAAAGTAACACCGTACCCAATTGTCAAGGTCGACAGTTGGATTTAGTATTAAGTACAGGATTTAGCGAAGCGTTGACGGTGGCGGTGGCGGACGAGCCTATTGTACCTATCGACTCGTATCACCCGCCGCTCGCGGTGTGTGTGCGCCTCGGCACCGCGCTGCCCGCGAACGCCCCGCCCGTCGCGAACTGTAGTAGTGGTATAAGCAGTATCCGACCACGGTGGAATTTTTATAAGGCTGACTACCAGTTACTTTATTCTATGTTAACATCGGCTGATTGGAGGGAAATGTATGAACAGCATGATTTGGAGGAGGTGTTGAATATATTTTATAATCAGCTTAATAGCATTTTAGATATATGTGTACCTCGGAAATATGTTTATAATAATATTAAAAATTCTCGTTTTATATATCCTGATTGGTATACATCAGAAATTATTAAACACATACAGATTAAAGCCAAACTTCATAAAAAATTTAAGAAAACTAAACTGGAAAGTGATTATTACGAATTTTCATTGTACAGAGCCCGGATCAAAAAATCTATACAAGTTGCACATAGGGAACACATTAATAAAATACAAAACCAATTTGCAAAAGACCCAAAATCATTCTGGCAGTACATTCAATCAAAGAGAAATAGACTAACTAGGCAAAATATAGTGAAAGATGGTCAACACCTCCCGGATCATGAATGTTCTAGACAATTTGCAGAATTCTTTGAATCGGTCTACAACAAAGAACCTCCTCTACTAGATGTGCGTGCAGCAGTGGCGGAGGCGCGGCCTTCTGGTGCGCGTGTACACATTACAGCTCTGACTCGACAAGATGTAATGAACGCGATCACTAGCCTCAAGCCCAAGTGGTCATCGGGCCCGGACGGGATCCCTGCGTTTCTGTTCAGAGATTGTGGCAGGGTACTGGTGGAGCCATTAAATTATATATTTAATATGTGCCTGAAGCAAGCGACGTTTCCGTCTCGGTGGAAAATCACACGAGTCGTTCCAGTCCCTAAAGGTAATGCAAGTCAGGATGTTCAGGGTTATAGACCGGTGGCGGTGCTGTCGACTCCTGCAAAGGTGTTCGAGTCTGCTATTCAAGTCTGTGTGCAAAGACAAGTGCAAGCACGTTTGGCAGATGCGCAGCACGGGTTTCGGCCGGGGCGCAGTACTGCTACTAATCTATTGAACTTCATGGCGCGCGTGGTGCCGGCAGTGGACGCGGGGGTACAGGTAGATGCCGCATACTTTGATTTTAAGAAGGCTTTCGATACGGTCGACAATGACATATTGCTGAGTAAACTGGCCGAGATTGGTTTACTCCACACTCCTAAAATTCTTTGTCAGTTATTTGAAAGACAGACAGCAGTATGTCGATTATAGGGGTTGCGAATCCGAACCATATTTCGCTAGGTCCGGAGTAAGTCAGGGTAGCAACTTAGGGCCATTGCAATTCATTATAATGATTAACGATTTACCCGGAAGTCGTTAAGCATGGACTTTGTTTGTTGTTTGCTGACGACCTGAAGTTGCTACTCGAATTAAGAATGAATCGGATTCAAAGCGTCTTCAAGAAGATATACAAAGTGTAGTAGATTGGAGTCAAAAGAATAAGCTGTTCTTCAATGTAGACAAATGCTCCATGATAACGTTTACTCGCGCAAAAACTCCAGCGCACTACGAGTACGTGGTAGAATCTGGACCGATGCAAGCGAGTTTCACAGGTACGAGATCTCGGAGTTATCATGACACAGACTTAACATTTCGGGAGCACATTACTAAGGTGTGTAAAAAAGCATATAAAAACCTAGGGTTTGTGCTGAGGCAGACACAAAGATTTAATAAAATATCTACGCTCAAGGTACTGTATGATGCTATAGTCAGAAGTCACCTTGAGCATAATGCGATCATTTGGTCTCCACATGAAACGAAGTACAGTGTCATGTTAGAGCGAGTACAAAACAAGTTCACAAGGCACCTGTACTTTAAACTGTATGGAGTATACCCTTTTTTACCCCTTAATGTACCCGACACTATTCGTACTTGGTATGGTCGGGTATAACGAGCTAAGAGTACGTAGGGAATTTACTCTGGCTGCTTACGTGGTGAAGTTATTACGGGATACAGTCAATAACCCGGGAGTGCTACGCTACCTGAAGTTGTGCGTACCTGACCGGTACGTGTGGAGGCGACGCCGTCCGGCACTGCTCGCCATCCCTGATACTAGAACCAACCTGCTGGCCAAGACACCGATCACTCGAAGCATTCGCGTAGTGAACGAAGTTCATAGCCGCGTTGATATATTTTCGGGGAAAACCAGTGATCTCACACGAGTTTTACTCCACATATGTACATATAATAACATTTGATCTCACTGAAATTGATGTAAGTGTGCTTTTATTTTTCTTTTATTTCTTATAAAGATTTTTATGTTAGTGTCAGTAGCTTTCTTTTATGTAGTATGTGTTTAAACAATGTAGGTTACCTAAGTAAAATAGTGTTTAAGACTTATTATTGTATTCACTTTATAATTTTTAAGAATGTTTAGGAATTAAGTTTGTTATTTGTTTATTACCTTACCTTTTAGTATTTCTTATGTTCTTGTTTATTCTTTGTGATTGTTCAAATTATATTAGGTAAGTATAAATTAAATAATTAGATTATAAGTTCTTACTTTTGTATTTTGTAAGACTGATAGCTACACTATCGAATTGGATTTTATCTGTAATGATGGTTGTTAGTGATGTAAATAAATAAATAAATAAATAAATAAATAAATAAATAAATAAATAAATAAATAAACCTTTGTTCACATCGTTGGTCGTAAGTGCAACAGCCAAGTGAGGTGTTCCTGGTTCAATTCTACGATCGTATAAATATTCATTACATTTTTTGGAAAATCTCTGTAAATTATCATAGAGCATAGATTTTTTATTAGATAAAATAATGAAATGGATTCTCTCGCACTTGCTGCGGCAAGAGGAATTGTAAGACTCTTAGGTATAGGTACTGACTAAAACCACCCCGATCTTTCTTCTGATTCTATCATAACAGGTGAAATATAAGAAAAGAGGTACTATTAGATAACCCTGAACCTATTAAATTGCAATATACAACTAGTCTGCCATGTGTGGAGATTTTGGCAAGATCTCATATGTAGAAAAAGCCCATAGTCCGACAGGGGACCAAAATTGCCTGATGGCTGATGATTATAAAGAAATGATTTTAAAAGAATAACTTACTGATATAAGCAATCTCGGTGCATATCTGCAACAATTCCAACGCAGTATCTCTGATTTCCCAATGTCGGTCGTGCATCTTCATATAGATCAGTTTGCCAAGGTCATGGATCGAGCCTCCGGGCTTCGAGTCCATTAGTAAAGACAGGTTCGGTTGCAAGAACTTCTTTACAGTCAACCCTATTACTTTTAAGGATACCACGACGAACTGAAAGAACAGAAAATTGGTATTCGGTACTGGAAGAAATACGTTAATGTAATAATAGTAGTGGTGCGGAGTCTAAGGCACTTTCAGCACTTCCTGCTTTTTCTGAGAGTAATATCATTTAAGCGTGGAAGAGCCATACTTCGGCACGAATGGGTCGGCTCGACCAACCACAGTGCACTTGCACAAGGGCTCTTCTATCAGCCGATAATGATGAATGATCTAACGACAGTTTAGTTTCGAAATTGAAAAAGTGAGTTCCGTCCGTCCGCCCGAGTGACTCTAAAGGATGGAAACGCTGGCGAGCGGATTAAAAACACCCACTTCTGAATAGACCATTGGATATCTATTGTTTGATGAAGATGATAAGTTAACCGAGATCCACTTTAGAATCAGTAGTCGAATTTGTAACAAAAAAATATCGTAAGGGAAGAAAACGACCAGGATTTGTCAACTTACATACCTTACAACTAAGGTTGGGTCGCTCTAAATTGTTTATAACAACATTATACAAGCACATGATCTCCACACTCTCGTGCCAGTTGATGTTCCGGTGCGTCACCAAAGACAGCACGTTGTCCATAACGTACGTCATCACAAGATTCTTCTGTTCCCCGTCTTCGAAGTGCTCTGTCTTTGGGTCCCCGTACATATCAGTCGGATTATACTCTTGTAGCACATGAAATAAAGCTTGAAATACCAAATTCGCTTGCTCATCATTTAAATGATCTTTCAAATGAATCAGTTTCTTAACACATTGAAGAACTACCGACAACGTATCTAATTCTGACGTCAAGTCCCTCAAAGCATAAGCAGCTTTCGCTGTATATTCACAGGACATGTTCAACAGTCTTTCTATATAGTCGTGAATTCTTGCGTCTGTCAACGCTGACTGCGGCTTCCCATATGTAACAAATACCAAGACAGGAACTAAAAATACAAACAACATTTGGTTTCTCATCTTAACTCCCTTCTTGTCCTCTTGCAACCACATTTCTGACTCCTTATCTTTGTACATTCCATTCCAAATAATATTACAAGTAGAACAAAAGTCTAGTATCGCTGTAGCGCTGCGACGCTGCACAAAATTCTGTATCACGTTAAAATTGAATGCGGCTATTTCTAGGAAATCCTCGCTGCTATATAGCACTCCGGGTGCCATTGGCTTTGTAAGGAAAACTTTCGCTAGTGTCAACCAAACCACTAATTTTAAAATATTTAATGTCATATCGTCTTTGCGTATTCGTTCGCATGCTATTAACAAATATGAATTAATTTTAAATTCTTTGATAAGTATGTGCATAAGCACACTTGCATTTTCGATGCGTCTCTCCATACTTGCTGTATGTAACAGTATCTGGATTGTAGGCTCAATCACGATGCATATTTCTTCCTCTTCTTCACTCGTTAGTGACTGGACGTTAATGAAATCATATTTGCTAATTGGTTGTATTAAATGGCTGATTATTGTTCTGATATTGTTGGCATCGCCTAAAGAGTTGAGTTTCCAAAGAAATTCTGCCATAAACTTGTACACTTGGCGTACAAGAAATACAGTGGATTTCTCATTACACAAACTGATAATGTCCCTCCATACTCCAGTTTCTAGTAGCCAGCTAACGCCAGAGTTGTGTGTGACTATATTCAGAGCTGCCTCCATGTAGGCTACTCTAATACTCGGGTTCATATTGGGTGCACAGATCTCTTGGAACCCTTTACGTATTCTATCGCCTTGCTTAGCGAACATTTTAGCAAAATGTAACTCTTTTTGTGACGCGATAGCAAGGACTCGCATGAGGAATACTTTGACTGTATTGTGTGCATTGTCAGTGTGGTCGAGCGCCTCGGTTATCAGATCAGATATTAAAGGCACTCTTTTCAGGAACGATACCTCTGAAAGGGAAAAGAGAATTCTCATAAGTATACAGAAAAAACATTGTAGTCAGTTTTGTGGTCACATTCGTGTACAGATCTAATAATTTCCGGTTTAGCACCAATGCCTATTATAATTAGCACATCGATTTTTATATTATCACTTATGATGTAGTGAGATGACATGATCACAATGCAAACCACCTTGAAGACTTACTAAGGCCATGACATGTCAAAACTTGTTAGTTACGAAGCATTCCAACTGATGATGACAAGCAATATTTCGACGGAAGGCTTCGGAAATTAAGTCATCTGCCATAGTAATAAATGAGCAGTCATGTCACAAGTCACATGGGATGCGTAGAATACCTAAATTCATGACTTGAATTGTCTAAGTCTCCACCTTTTTTACTAAATAGATAAAATACAGAGAAGATTAATATAAGGTAAGGTTAGGTCCCTGAAAATTAAAATAAGTAGACGGTAAAATTTAGGGGATGTTGAAGAAGAAGTTAAATTTGACGAACAAAGCAGCTAAGCAGCTGTAGACGTATAAAATCAGAGACGTTTATTATAGCCATTATTTATCATTAAAAACGTAAGATACGTAAGGAAATTCTCATGGTCGGTGATAAAGGGATAGATCTGGTTCTTGGTAGAATAAAATCCGTTGAAACATCCCATATGAAATGTTCAATATAGTTAATTTCTACATTATTCTGCAAGGCTAGTTTCTCTTTAGTTTTAATATCAATCAATGAAACCGTGACGTTTTTCACGTGAGAGAGCCATACGGTGGCACAAATGGGCTGGCTGCATCCGAGTGATACCACAAGACAATAGTTTTGTTGTGGTGCCGAGCAAGCTAGGTTGCCAAAGGCTCATGTTTTGAAGATGTTTTTATCTCAGTTTACGCTATCCACGGACTCATGGTCCTTCCCCTATTCATACAATTTACAAAAATTTGATACCCATCAGCAGTATCATCCGGACCTACGGCGACTTTTAAACCATAAAAAACCGTTGCACGAATAATATTAAATGATTCACTTTATGAAATTATGAAATTGCAATGTTGAGCAGATTGATTGATTGAAAAGATGAAATTTAATGTCACGTGTCTATTAAACGACCAATCAGAATTGGCGACGGCTATTACGTAGAATAAATTGTACACAATGTACAGAAACGAGTACATTGAAACAGACAGACACAGTTATTATTATTATTTTATTATGATCAAAGCACGTGTGCGCCATTATGAAGTTAACCTTTATAACGAAACTTGAATTTTTTGTCAAGTCATGATGACAAAGCATGATTAAGTATTTTTAAACAAGAGGTGTGCATATTTAGAATTTGTTTATTTTTGTTTGATAGGAGTTATAATAAGGAAGATACTGCTAGACTGGAGATAGTAGAAAGAATACTTGCATCCTTAGTAAGGCTAAGAAATTATTAGGAAGAAAAAGATATTATGAGTGTAGGAGTCACTGGAAACTAAGCAGTGGAAGATTTGATATGGATTCTACAAATACAATATTAAGTGAACGAAAAAAGTAAGCATATTATGAACTGAGCACTTTCTAAGGATCTAAATAGCTAGAAATCCTATCCTCAACAAAAAACAGATTATCTTTCATCATTATTAAGATTGTGCAATTTCAAATTGCATTTGAATTCATAAAATATAATTATTGCAAAGCTTTTAGTCTAGGCAAAAACTATTTATAATGTGTATACGGAATATCTTAGCCGTAAGCGTGACTTTTAAAAATACAAATCCAAGTTCTGACAAACACGTTAGTAATATAAAATTTACATCATCAGTGATAAACAAAAATACAACATCAGTTATCTTTGCCATCTGCCTTCTAAATAATATGTAAGTATCAAAAACAGATTTGCTCCGTAACTTAAAAAGTGATTATGGAGCGGCGCTAAATAAAACTGTCGAATTAGAAAAAAATCTGTAACATTTTTTGAAATAATGAATTATTTTTGACCATATTTGAATATTCTTTTCTAACGGACTTTAATACTTTCTCGACAGTAAATTAATACGAAATATCGTGTTACCTACGTCATGACTTGTTATATTTCATACTAAGCGGTGACGTTACGACCTTCCACTCGTAAGCTTAAATAAGTTTTATCAAATTATTGTTATCGTATACGAAAAATACGTCTCAAATATTTTTTATTGTCTAAGGAACTAAAGATGCTTGACTTTCATACTCTGTCCAACAGTTTAGTAATAGGCATTTTCTCATTAATCGTAATAAGTGTAATCATTTATGATGAACCTGTCTCTATTCCTTCTCCCCTTTCTTCCTTCACTTTTCTTCTTACTATACCTACTCAAATATTATTACGATTAACTACGAGTAACAAACAGACCGAACTGGATGTTACTTTTCTGATGCGCATTTTTTTATGTGATACATCGGCAAACGAGCAAGCGGATTACCTGATGGTAAGCAATCAGCGCCGCCGATAGACACCCGCAACACAACAACAGAGGAGTTACGAGTGCCGACCTTTTGGGGGATTTGGGAGATTTAGGGATTGGCGTGGGATTTGGGAAGGAGAAGGATTGGGCCACCTGTAACCTCACTCACACGGCGCACACAAACACAACGCAGTGGTGGTTTCACGCCGGTTTTCTATGAGGCCATGGTATCACTTCGGTCGAGCCGACTCATTCGTGCCGAAGATTGGCTCTCCCACAATTTCCTCATTTGCACAGCGTGTTTTAAATTAATGACACTAACGGAGCGTTTCTATTTGTCTAAAGTTATAAGTCTTAACTTTGCACAGGTGCAATGAATAAAGCCGTAACGTAGATTTGCCCGGCTCATGCAGACATAATTATGTAGTTTGAACAATTATAAGTCCAACGAACACAACCAGATCTGTTGACTCAATTGATACACTCATATTTAAGATCATGCAAATTATTATTTACAAGACTGTGCGTTTACCGGAGACCCTACCCTAATCCCCAAAAGGCCGGCAACGCATTCGAAAATCGGTACTTTTAAGCAAGGCATAACAAATATGTAGTTTTTCACCAATTCAGGTGTTCTATCATCCCATGTCTTGCAAAACGTTCGGACAATTTTGGATTTTATGTTAACACAGATATGGTGCAATTTATTTATATTTACATCAACACGAATGTTTGGCTAGCCAGTTTATCTAACGCCATATCACTATCTAGATTATAAATACCTTATCTGAAGGGCACTGCGTGTGGTCACAAACGATATGCGTGCGCCAATGTTTCAGTTTTATAAGTCCCAAACAAAAATTTTATCGCTCGTTTCTTCAAATTTGTGTAATATCACGTGTTCTCTCGATTTATCAACAGTACCAAATATTTAAAACAGTACCAAATACTTAAATAAAAATATCTATGTATTTTTTTAGCCCTCGCGGTACCTAATAAGAGGGTGTTATAAGTTTGACGTCTGTCTGTCTGTGGCATCCTGGAGCCTGAACGGGTGAAGCGATTACAATTTAGTTTTTTTTTTGTATTAAAGGTGACTTACGTGCGAGTGTTCTTAGACATGTTTGACGAATTGAGACCGGTTGAGCGGTTTAGAAGTTATGGGGGGGTAAGTGGGGAAGGGTAACCGAGGATCTGCAAATACACTCGAGTGGGGTCTCAAATGAAAGCGCACTGAAAGGCAATGTTGATGACTTAATCGAGAGGAAATGATATAAAAAGTATAAAATAAAAAATTGGTAATAAAATGTATGGATCGGTCCCCAACGCCACGTTTTCTGTTAATTATTACTTTTTAAAGGAATCTTAGATTTTTTGTCGGGGGTTTTTCTATCTGATCTTCAGTACCTTTCTAGGACACTCTTTGGCCATGCGCATTCCATGCAATATTTTAAATAAGGAGCATTCTGATACCCAAATTTTAACAGGAAATGCCCTATAAGTGACTGAATAACTGTTTTATTATTATAATGTACACAAAATTACAAGAAGTGGGCACAAAAGGCGGCCTTAATACCATAATAATATGACATTTCTCTATCAGTCACCTTTGGGTCAAGTAGAGAAAATAGCGAAAAAAATGTATGTGCATGCTTTCGATTTTATAATAAAAAAGCTCCATACCAATAAAAGGATTAATTATTTCGGTGTCTATCACTTTTTGAACTTGCCCAATTCGGGTGATGTTGATTCTATCAGGATTTTGTAGGGAGACAATGTATTCATATTCATTCGTACGTGTGTATATGTGCGTTTTTTTTTTTTTGATTAGGCAGGTGCTGTTTTTTATCTAAGATATGATAGATGTTATTACATTTTCTTTTCAAAAGATATTAGGTGATAATGATATAGCGTGTTTTCAAAATGAAACCCTGATTTTTTTATGTACTGAAAGTAACGAGTACGAAAAGAAACGAGACATCTTCCCTGTTGCTTTATTTCTTATAACCGAACCGAAAAATTATAAATCTTTACTGTTTTAAATTGCACTTTCATCGATCATTTTTATAATCGCACGAAAATATGGGACATAACTCGCAAATGATATTGTTACGTGCCTGACGTCACGTTTCTGACTATGCGGGCTTGGGTTACGGGATTGGATGAAATGAAACACTAATACCAGATTTCAGACTTTCTATTGCCCTTAAGTTACAGCGTCCACGGAGTTAAGTTATCGGCGTTCCTCTCCAGCAGAGTCCGGCCGACTGACACAACTTTGCCGTTCACGCTGACTTAACTCACTTAACTGACTGCACTTCACTATTTCACTGCACTTCACTATTTCACTCACTTTCTTCTTTTCAATTCTTCCTTTTCTTCCGAATCGCTTTAGACTTAGAACTCAACTGCCAGCGGTGAGCCGCAGTTCCGCTTATATACCCCCGGTTCAGGTTCTGGAACATTCAATTTCGTTATTCTTTTTGATCGTCATGACTCCAGAACCTTCCAATAATTTCGTTACTCATTTTTATTTATTCTCCTTCTCGCTCTTTAATTTTTCATTTCT